AAGCTGTTTGTACAAAAAAAATTCTCTTGGAATTCATTTAGGAGTTTATTCCAGTCCTCTTGAAATTAATTTTGGAGCTTATTTATATCCTCTTTGAATTCTTTAAATATATTTGTAATTCTGTGGACCGCTTTGTCTGGAATTTCACCTAAATTGCTCCCCTAGGGACCATCACTATGGGATTGACCTCTTTGGGAGGAGACATATTATCTAGGTTTTTTTTCTGAATTGGAATTTCTACATCTGGAGTTGTTCACTGGCTGTGTTTTGGTTTGAGTGTCTAGCCCACCTATGTTGTAACTATTTGGATCTTTACTTGGAATTAACCCAGCTTACCTGATTTGGGGTCAGCTGTGATGCTTGAAGTTCACTCATGGGGACCCGCAGTACTGGTATGTGGTAGGGTAGCTGAGATGGTACCAGCTTGGCTAGAAAGGGCACAACCTCTGACCTCACAAGTAGATAACCTGTGTAGGTTGGCAAGGGAGATGCCTGAGTAGTGGGAGTATAGCCTCTGACCTATGAGCTAACGCTCAATGTGATTCTGCAGTATCAAAGAGACAGGATGCCAGAGTCAGCTGTGATGCTAGCCTTTTTCCTAATGAGCCCATGGGATCGCTATGAGGTTCTGTGGTAGCAAGGGTGGTAAGGTATCAGGATCATCAGGAGTCCTGACCTTTGATCTGATGAGTTGACTCACTACAAGGTTCTATGGCAGCTGAGGATGAGGTGCTAGAGCGTCAGCCTCTGATCTGAAAAGAAGGCAAGATCTCCATGTGCTGGCTGAGAAGTTGGTGGAGTTCAGGATCAGAAGGGGCATTGGACACTGACCAGGAAAGCAGATGGGTTCTCTACATGGGCTCGAATGGCTGGGGGTTGGGGATCTGGGAAAAACAAGGGTGGTGGCTGCTGACCTAATGAAATAGGTGCTCTACTAAGTTCTGTGGCAGTTGAGGGGCATGCCAGGGCTGGTAGGGATGCTAACTTCTGACCTCTCGAGCAAGCAGGAGTCTCTATGTGGTTCTGTTGCAGCTACATGGTGAGGTACCTCATGTGTTCTTGAGCAAGGCATTTAACCTCCCTGTACATACTTTCCTCGTGAGTAAACTAAAGATAATACTAATGTATAGCACATGAGGCTGCCATAAAGATTCACAAGGTAATTATGAAAGTCAGGGCCACATTCCTGTTATGAGGCAAGCATTGTGCAAATCCATGAAGATATAAAGATGAGCTGATAGTCTGCAGGGGAGGGGAAAACACAAACATTGAAGATTTCGGTCGAGTGATGCTTAAGACTTGAAATCAAAAACAGAGCACAGTTGGCATGCACCTGTAGTCCCAACTACTAAAGAGGCTGACGTAGAGGGATCATTAACCCTACGAGGTTAAAGCTAGCCTAGGCAACACAGAGACCTCATCTCAGTAAAGCAAACAAAAAGCAACAAACCCTTATGTTATTTCTCCGTTTTGTTTTGGGGTTGCTGAATTTAAGTCATGAATTTCAAAACAAAGGTATTCAGTTTGTGTGTGGTGGGTGAGGGGTGTTGTTTTGTTGTTTTACATTTATTTATTTTGTGTCAATGTGCCTGTGACATGGATAGTATGGGTGTCTGTTCTCTCCTTCTACCATGTGGAAGTTTCAAAAACTGAACTCAAGTCATTGCCTTTACCCACTGGGCCATCCTGCCAGCCCCCTATTCAGTTATTTACTCACAAATTATATGTACTTTGTGATCAGCACTGACATTAGTAGAAATTTCATAGAGGGATAAAGGATAAGCCAAGAGTTTTCATTATTCTTATTTTGAAAATAGGGATATTATGTCTCAGAGTGATAAAATAACTATGCACCACATGTTACATAGAGAAGTGAGAAAATCAAAGGCCCTTCCTACTAAGCTGGAGGGTGGGGATTCAGTTCAGTGTGAGGAGCACATACTAGCACGCACAGGGCCTGGATTCAATCGCCATCATCACCATGCACAAAGCCAGCAGCAATCCAAAGCTGAAACGAAACAAAAGGAAAGCTGTGACTAACCTGCCCAATGCCTGAGCTTTCGAGGGGGGTCTTGATTACTGCTGCTTTTCTTTGGCATGGGCAAAACTCTAATGGCCTTCCCTTTCTGTCATTAGAGCCTGTGCTCTGTCTGCTGTGCCACATAGCCACCAGTATTTCTTCTTTTCATTGTTTGTACTAGGTACTAATAGATGGGAGCCCAATGTCAGAAACCCTACCAGGATTGGCAACTGCACATTCCAGATAACGCCCCTCCCTGACATCCACCAGGGGGCGTTCTAGAAACTCATATGTCTTCTTTCTGCGTATGGCTTGAGCTAGTTGCCCAACTGCTCTAAGCCTGGGCTCAAGCCTCAGAAAGGGAAGCGACAAGAGCTAAACGTGACAAGGAATGTAAAGCACATGGTTAACCAAATGTTATTTTCTCCCTTATCACCTCCTCAAATGAGTAGCACCGGAGTACGAATATGTTTATCTGCAGAGTCAGTCGGTTTGTCAGGATGGATATCTTCAGAGTTCACCGCTTGTCTCCCGTGACTCAGAGCCTTCTGGCTCTTGGAGAAAAACTGTCCCCGCCCTTCCGAAATTGCTAAATGCATACCTTCTGTTGACGCTGTGTGTCAGAATGCATCATAACCCCACGGCTCGAGAAGGCGCTTTGCAACTTTGGGCTGGGAGGGTTACTGGCATTCCATCTGTAAATTGCCCCAGCCTGAACCTCTCTCCCTGTCCCGGGCCTGAAGAGCAACAGCAGGGGACAAACACTATAGAAGAAAGTAAGCGCTGGTTACAGAAAGGCACCCCCTTGGCTATCTCTGACTCCATCCTTCCCTGCCAGCCCTACAGGTTCAGAGATAAGTGTATCTAACATAGACTGTCCCAAGTTCTCCCCCACGAAGTCATTCCTCAGAAGTTAACTGTTCACACAGCTCCCCTTTCTGCCTGAGGACGGCTTCCCTGACAAGCGTTTGTTTCATCTGTTGTTTTTCTCCTCGGATAAAGGCCAGGTTTATTAATACAATGTTAGAACATTTGGCTTTTAAAAAACATTTCCATAGCCGGGTGTGGTGGCACACACCTATTATCCCAGAGGCAGGGGCACTAGCAAAAGTTTGAGGTCAGCCTGGCTTATGTAATTAGTTCTAAGCCATAGAGGGTTTCACAGTGAGATCCTGTCTCCAAAAAAAAAAAAAAAAAAAAAAAAAAAACTGGGGCAGATAATTAAAAAACAAGCAAATGCTTACGTAATCCTCACGGTAGGCAATGAGATTGATTGTGGTGGATGTAATAGACACCTGAAATGATAACTTCAGGGAGATGCTGAATATTCATTATTCACCAAAGGTTCCCCACCAGCACTGTCTTAACCTGGTCCGCTAGACCAGGCTAAGGTCTAGTTTAGGACTTGTGGACCAAACTTTTCCTCCAACAGATGTGCCTTAACTAAGCTCCAGAAACTAAGCAATATACAGAGCTAAGAGCTCATTGATTAATTACAAGAATGTAGCTTCTGGGCCAATCAGAAGACTTGACTCAGCAAACAGAACATTCTCTCTCCAGTACTAAATGTCTCGGAATCCAAATTACAAATCAGGAAGGCAATTTATTCACTTAAAGTGAAAGAACAGAAGTGTTCCAGATGTTCATGCCCAAACTTTCCTGACAGATAAACCACATAGGAAACCAAATGATTTAGCCTCTTGGTAAGCAAGGAACCACAGCTAGGGCAATTGCTGGTCTTCGGGTGTGTCTTCCAGTAAACAGTCTCCTGCCATGAATGGATAGCTATGCCCAGAGAACTATGCCACTTAAATCTGTTAGTTAGCCAAGCCTTCTTCCATCTCAATCAGAATTTTGCAGTCTGATGGGGAAGACCTGTGTATAAGTCAATAAAGCACTGTTGGCCAATAGCAAAGCAAGATAGGTGGGACTAGGAATCCAGGAGGACTCTGGGTAGGAGAAACACAGGGAGTCATCATGTAGCCCGCCAGAGAAGTAAGATGTCCATCTGGTAAGAGAAATACTTAGATGGGTTAAATACTTAAGTCAGAGCTAGCCAGTAAGAAACAAGCAAGGCCAACAGCTTCATAATTAATACAGCATCTTGTGTGTTATTTGGGGACTACAACGCGGCAGAGCCCAGACGACTGGTGGGGAAAAACCAAAGTGGCTGGCAAGGAAAAGGCTTCTCTCTACAGCAGTCTGGTACTAGGTTCCTAGCACAGGTGGCTAATTCAAGTCCCTAAGGATCATTCTACTAGTTTAGCTCCTGAAAGTGGTGGTTTTAATGTTCTAAGCGGCCTTGTACATTCTATATCTAAAAAGGCACCCTCACTGGCTGGTGGTGGCACACATCTTTAGTTCCAGCATTTGAGAGGCAGAGGAAGGTGGGTCTCTGAGTTTGCAACCAATCTAGGACTACACAGAGAAACCCTGTCTCAACCAACAAACAAAAAGGCACCTTGTCCCCCTGCCCCCCACCCATGTCCATGCATTCTCTGTGTGTCTCTGTGAGAGTGTATCTCTGTGTGTATCTCTGAGTGTCTCTTGGAGTGTGTCTCTGTGAATATGTCTCTGTGTGTCTCTCTATGAGTATGCTTCACAAATTTTAAGACAAAAACCCAGAGAAACTGAGTGCTTGCCCCAAAATCGGAGCGATGGCAAATTCACAGCTCAGAGCCTGTGCTTCTACAGGCAGATTCCGCAGTTCTCCATCAGTCCTGTTTACCATCAGAAAGCTTCATTTTGAAGAAAGAAAACTCAATGTGTTTTAAAGAATTATCTTTTTTAAATGTTACCCAATTTTTTTACTAAAAAGAAGCTGTGAGGATATGAATGAAAGTGTACAGTTGAGATGAAAAGACATAAATAAAAAATTCACTAAGACAGGGTCACCTACAACTGGGACAGGTGGTCCAGGCATAAAGAGCACCCATGATCTTGTCTGAGAGTAAGGGGATATTCATTTGCTCTCTTGCAGAATCTGAGTCCATCAGAGGCAAGGGGGGAAATCCTCCACTATCAGGTGACCTTGCGGGAGGTGACAAGGAAAATCACACTCCAGAACATTACAGGACACACTTCCTGGACTGGGATCATTCCCAGAGTGGGGGCTTGGACCGCATCTGTGTCTGCAGCCAATTCGAAAGGCACCTCTGCACCCACTCATATAAACATAGTGGACCTGTGTGGCACTGGTAAGTACCCAGTCACCTTAGCACTGCCTGTGGGAAACTGTCTCCCTTACCTTTTCTCTTCTGCAAGTGCAGGCCAGAGCATGGTGTGAGTAGCCAAGAGTTTAGACTTTGGAGTCAACAGCTGTCTGTTCCTGTTACCCTGGGGATGACCTTGAGCTAGTGAATTAAAATTAACCCTCTGAGCTTCAGTTTCTTTGTAAGATAGAACTTACACTTACTGTCTTAAAAATCACTGTGATTGTAGTCTTATATAAGTATTAGTAAAGTTACATTAGAGTAATATTTTCTAATTAGACTAATTTTTATAGAATCAATAATAATATATATTGCTAAATTCTAGACAAAAAAAAATTTAGACTTATACTTTAAAACCGAGAATTAAAATAAAATTCTGACCTTAGTGAAACCGTGAAAAAATTATGTTCTTTATTACATACATTTAAATATGTATATAATTGTCTTCAGAAAAATAATCCCAACTAGATGTAGGTTCTCACATTTATAATCATATCTTCTACAATTACCTCTTCAAAGAAAGACCCTGATAAGCTAAGAAAACAGATCTTATGCTGTGTCTTAAGGTCTGCACTGAAAAAAAAAGTCTAAGCAAGATAAAACACTGTAATTGTACCCTCTCTTATAATTTAGTGTCAAATGTTCTATATACATGGGTCCAGCAATCATCAGTTTGAAGAAATTTCTGCCAAGAGATTACGTTAAGATTTATTTATTATTTTATATGTATAGGTCTTTTGCCTGCATGGGTGTCTATGCACCATTTGCATGCAGTGACTATGAGGCTGAAAGAGAGTGTTGGATCCCCTAGAACTAGAGTTACAGATGGTTGTGAGCCACCATGTGGGTGCTGGGAACCTAACATGGGTCCTCTAGAAAAACAACCAGTACTTTTAATGACCGAGTCATCTCTCTAGTCCCAAAACATTATTGTTTTAGACGCACCAGTAAATCTTGTTTTAAGAACATGTGATGAAAACAGCTAGAAGAAAACACCAGTAAACATGGGTATCACCTCGATTTAGCATTTGTGTTAGGAATTGCTCCTCGGAGTCAGTCAGACTGAAGGTCTGGCTACTATGGCTCATTTGCTCTCTCACGTGAAGGAGGTTCACAGAGAGACAGCTCAGGGTGGTGACATCACTACTCCAGACTCCTCTCTCTTTCTCTCCCAAAGCTGGCATTCATCCTCACATGGAAATGGTCCAAAAGGCTGCCAAAGCTCTAGCTGTTTCTTGTAGGCAGCAGAACAGAGAGGAGGCAGAAGGGAGTGGCCCCTTTCTGCAGGAGCTCACCCCAGTGCACAGCAACTTGGCTCTTGCTGCCCCTTGCTGGCCCTCACCACTCACCTGACCACGCCCAGCTGCCAAGAAGGGTCATGAAGCGCATTATGGCAGCCATATTCCCTTCCTGAAGAAGATGAAAAGTTGTTTGGTAGGCAGTGAATAATCCCTTCATCCCTGGGGAAAGCACTCAGGAAAGAAACATGAAGGAAAAGATGGATTCTCTAACTATGGGGATACACTTCCAAGTTCATACAGCGTGAAAGAATTGTATCTTAAAAACACCCTAAGTGGTAGGTGTGATAGTGCATACCTGTAACCCAAACAGAAGGCCTAGGCTAGATGTTTGTAAGCTAGAAGCCAGTGTAGACTCTATAGTAAGATTCTGTCTCAAAAAGAAGAAAAAATGCAAGTAAAGCATAAAATGCAAATAACAGCTTAAATATATGTCTATAACATATATATTATACAGAGAATTTCACTATTCAGTATGTATTGCCAGGTCAGGTATGGTGGTTCCTGTATGTAATCCCAGCACTTGGGGGGATGAGGCTGGAGGATTGCTATGAATTCAAGGCTAGTCTGGGCTACATAGTGAATTCCAGGCCAGCCTGGGATACAGAGTGAGATTGTCTCAAAAATAGATAAGAAGCAAAGAGGAAAAAAGGAAGGAAAGAAGGAAGAAAGGAAGGAAGGGAAGGAGGGAAGTATATAATAATAGAATAAATGTTAGAAATAGAAATGCAGTTATTTGTTGAATAACTGCTTGAGGGCTGTCCAGTTGACTCAGCAAGGTAAAGGCACTTGCCCCAAGCCTGATAACCTGAGTTCAATCCTCAAATCCCTACATCGTGAAAGGAGAGAAATGACTCCCTCAAGTTGTCCTCTGACCTTCAAACCTGTGCTATATAAGACACACAAATAAATAAATATTATGTTTTTTAAAAGAAAAATTTTCCTGAAGCAATATAATACCATAACTGACCTAAATGAACAATAGAGAATAGACTGTTAAATACATCTGACCTTTGCCTGACTTAATAACACACTAACATGTCACTAACTGTTCCCTGGGAAATTTTGCATTACAAGCAACAAAGCAGTCTTCTAAAAGTATACATGTTCCCAGCATTTGGGAGGCAGAGGTAAGAAGAACCTCATGAGTTCAAAGCCAACCTGATCCACATAGGGAACTCTAGGCCATTCAGGAACACATAGACAGATACCTCACTCACACCAAAAAGGGGGGAGGATTTAATCTCACTTCAAATCTACATTTATATGAGCAGATTCTTTTTCTATAGCTAAAAACAAAAAGCCTAGCAGAAACCATGGAAATATTAACAGAGGTCATCTTTGCATCATGTGGATTTACATGCGATTTTTCTTCAAACTCCACCCTTTGGGTATTTTTTTTCCTTTAAAAAAATTTTTTTAGATGGGCATCATGGCCCATGCCTTTAATCCCAGATCTTGGGAGGCACAGGCAGGTGAATCTCTGAACCAACCTGATCTATAGAGCAAGATCCAGGATGGAGAAACATTATCTTGAAAAGTCAAATTATTTATTTGACTTTTTTTTCCATTTATTGATTTAGTATGTGTGTTTCTGTTCATGTCACAGTGTGCCTGTAGGTCAGAGACAACTTTTGGGAGTGGGTTTTCTCCTTCCACCAAGTGGATCTTAGGAATCAAACTCAGGTTTAATGGCCAGCATCTTACCTACTTAGCCATCCTACAGCCCCCTGCAATATTTTTATATTTAATGTTTCTCCTCCATTGATAAGTATTATACATAGACTTTTTAAAGATTTTTATTCTATATGTGCTTCACCTAGGTAAAACATACGTATGTATGTACACAACTGTGCTTGTTGTTTAGGGAGTCGGATCCCCTGGCACTGGAGTTATAAATGGTAGAAAGCTGCCATGTAGTGCTGGGAACCGAACCTGGATCCTCTACAAGAGTAGTAATTACCCTTAACTGCTAAGCCATCTTTCTGGCTCTTGTGTACAGGATTTTTCCAAAAGTAAATCCTACAGTAGTAATATACTGTTTATAAGATGTGATACATGAAAAGCAGTCACAGTGCATGTGCACATTCCCGCACACATATGAACATGTACAGAAAGCACACACATACATATACAATCCAGTGACTTGGTATATACTGAATGGCAGATCCAAGTAACAGAGTATTACTAAGGGAAGTTAGGCCAGAAATCCAAGCAAGGCAGGAACAACGCAGAAGCTAAAGCAGAGGACATTCAGGAGTGCTAAGGCCATGCTTCGTACTGGCTTGCTCCCCATAGATTCTCAGCCTGCATTCTGATACACCCTAAAAGCCCCTGCCCAGGTGTGACACAGCCTACAATAGGCTGGACCCTCCCACATCCATCAACAAAATGTCCATAGTCTTGCCTACAGGCCAATCCTATGGAGGCATCTTCTCCTTTAAGACTCCTTCCCAGGGAGGCAGAGGCAGGCGGATCTCTGTGAGTTCGAGGCCAGCCTGGTCTACAAAGTGAGTTCCAGGACAGCCTCCAAAGCCACAGAGAAACCCTGTCTCGAAAAACAAAACAAAAAAAAAAAAAAAAAAAAAAAGAAAGAAAAGAAAAAGATGCCTTCTTCCCAGGTGACACTACTTTGTGTCAAGTTGACATAAACAATAAACACAGGTCAGCACAATGGCCCACACAGATGTCAGAGACTGTGGCTCAGGAAGGTGAAACAGCATCCAGGGCAAGGATGCAATATTCTGAAAATATCTATTATATACTAAGAGACTGGTACTTTTTTTGGACCTCACAGCCAGAGTTAATAATACACCCTGAAGTCACTTAAGGCTGCTAGCTTACTGTGTACTAAAACCTGCCTTTACGAGAACAATGTAATTGCTTTGGATTTCCCACATAATAAATTTTTAGCACCTAAGCTAATGCAAAGGTATAATCTTAAATCGTGTACTCTTCCATGCTCCTGACCCAGACAACGCGTGTTTATCATTTGCTGAATGCAGCAAATACAAAAGTTGAAAGCAACCTCTTAAAATCTACTATAAAGGCTGAAAGTGATCATGTATGGATATTTCTTGATAAACAATGTTATTTGTTATCTGGATCAGTTGAAGCCAGACATAGCCCCTTATACAACTCTGTTAAAGATCTCTATCAAGTATCCCATTCCTTTCTTTTGTGATGCTTTCTGTGCTGTTCAATAAATACAGAGTGAAAGGACAGACACACATACATACAGAAAAAGTCACCATTCACACACACACAGACACATACAATACATACAGATACATACAACAGACACACACAGAATATACAAAACAGACAGACACAGAGAAGAGAAGTCAGAGAACATAAAGTAGAGAATTCAAATCTGTTCTCACCCTTGGTTAAATGACTCCAAGAGGAAATATTTTATTTCTTTCCTCAATTCGATACTGACGCATTATTAGTGACTCAAAGTGAAACCACTAATGAGAATGATCCGAGCAATCTGAGATCAGACATCCAGCAAGCAACAGAGCAGGACAGGAAACATAAGCCTCCTTTCTCTTAGGTGGTACCTTACAATCGTCAGAACTCCACAGAGAGGTTCTTGGGAAACAGAGATAGGATATTCTGATTGAAGCTAAGGAAGTTATTTCATTTTGTGTTTGTGTTCTGAGACAGTCTGTAGCCCTCTGTTCTCAAACTTACAGAGCTCCACCTACTTCTGCCTCCCAAAGTGCTGGGATTAAAGGTGTGTGCTGCCATGCCTCACAGGAAGAAATAACTCTGACTGAGAGAAGGTGAAGCATTAGCAGAGTCTCGAAGGGAAGACGGTAGTAGACATCCTAGAGAAGGAATTACAGCCTGGTGCCTGGATAGTGACCCAAAGGCTGGAGGACTCTGAGAGATGCAGACCGATTTGCTTAGCAAATTCCAGATAAAGCAGAGATGAAAGGGTTTGGGGGGCATTTTTGCACAACCTCAGACAAAAGGTCTTGCACATTGTAGCACTCGATTTTTATGGAATGAAAACAAGTATTCTAAAAAAAAAGTGTCTCAGGCTGACTAGATGAGTCACAGGAAGGGGCTTATGCTGTCAAGCCCGACAACTTGAGTTCTAGCCCTGAGACCATACGGTGAAAGGAGAGACCCAACTCCTGCAAGTGTCCTCTGACCTCTACACATGTGCCTCGACACCTCCGTGTAAGTACACACACACACAGAAAACAAGACGAGCACATGAAACAAAGGCAGTCATGATAACCATTTTGAAGGTTAGAGCTAACTTACCCCCACCATTATGCTTTTTAAAAAATTCCCAGGCACAAACCACTTTACAATTGAACCCCGGAAAAAAATACATAACCTAATTATTCAAGTTTTACAGAAAATACAAAATAAGGAACGCTGTCCAATCTGTTTTATGGGATCAATTGTTTTATGATCAATTTTATTTTATTAGTAAAAGCAAATAAAGAGAGTACAGGAAAGATTATTGTTTAAATCACTTGTGAATACAGACACAAAAATCTAAAATTATTGGCAATTTGAGTCTATATAAACATACATTTAAAAAATTAGTGTCAATAGTTCCAACTTCCAAGTGAGCATATACAGCATTTGAAAATGACTCTGTCCTCAAACAAGTAAAAAAGAGACAAACTAAAAAGGCAGCAATCCTCTTCCTCCTCCTTCCCTCCTCCCAACCCCCACTGAAGATAGAAATAAATGTCTGAACATAGGAAACTACTTTTATTGTCATTAAGTGCCTTTTGCTTTATAGTTTTCCATCGTTCTCAATTAAACATTTCATTCTTAGGGTATAAAGGCTTTTTTCTCTAGTTAGTAACATTTCTACTTATAATTGGAGGGCTAGCAAAAAAGTATCTTTCATTTCTACTTAAGAAGAGTTTTTCTATTTTTTATTAAAATATATTCATGGGCTTCATTATGACATTGTCACACATGTTTACCATGTATGTTGATCATACTTACTCTTCCCATCACCCAGTTCTTCATTTGCTCCTTCGTTTGTGTGTTTGTTTGTTTGTTGAAACAGGGTTTTTCTGTATAACAGTCCTGGCTGTCCTGGAACTCACTCTGCAGATCAGGTTGGCCTCAGACTCACAGAGATCCACCTACCTTTGCCTCCTGAGTGCTGGAATTAAAAGTGTGCACCATCACTGCCTGGCCCCAATTCTTCTTTAACCCACTAGAGAAGTAAAACCCCAAGGAAGCCACTACCATTACCCGGGAAAAGAAAGGAAAGGTGAATATCTAAGGATTAGCAGGTGGGATATGTCTGTGCAGGTTACAATGAGAACCTGGAGGTCCTGAAAATCATAAATAAATAATAGCATTTCCCTTTTAAAAAAAAAAACCTTTTAGCTTGTATTTTGGACTGAAAACCTAAGCCTAAAAAGCAGAAGTAACAGCCAACAGAAGACAATGTAGTTGAATATGTTCATAACCCCAGGGTGGTGGAATTTAACAAAGTTGTCAGAGAACTAACTGGCTGCATTCAGAGTAGAAAACTGAAAAGTCATTAGGATCATCAAAGCTACCTGCCAATCAGGAAAAGACAGAAACACACAGAAAAACCAGCCAAGCCTACCAATAGTCACAGAAGAGTCAGTGAGAAGCTTGGCCTTACGAAACGACAAACATGAAAATCAAACCTCTAATCCCGTATCCTTTTATGCCTATCAAATTGATAAACATAGGAAGTGAAATACAGAGTGTAGGTGAGAGTCCCCACTACTCGTGGTGAAGTGTCAGTGTGCTGTTTTTTGCCTTCTGTGCATGTATATAGCGCTTCATGTAGGCTGGGCAAGGGCTACATCCCCCTCTCATCCGTCCGTGTTGGAGGTCAGCCAGAGGACACTCCCTAGCTGAGCAGTTTTGTGCATGTGCATCCACCATCCATGATGGTCTTGCACATGCAGAGAGGTGCCGCAGATGAACTGCAGAACAGATGAGAATAGGGCCTAGGCAGACTCGTGAAGAAGTGAGCTAGGTTTACATAAAGAAGGAGAATGAATCTATCCCAGAAACAGAGAGCTAAGTGGAAAGGTTTGACAAAACATACTATGTTTTGTGAAAATATAACACACAAGCAAAGGGTCACAGCAATTTTCAGAGACACTTTAATGTCTAAGGAGACAAACGGGAGGTCATTAAAAGGGTGAATATTACACCTACCAGAGTAAGCACTTTGAGTGAATGCAGTGAGTTCAATGAGGAAATAAATCCACAAAGAAAGCTACACAGGATTATAGGACAAGCTGCTGAAGCTAATCTTCCATGAACTGAAAAGCATAAACTTAAACCTTGACCTGGAAGGCCCTACAGAGAGACTGAGGACTTCCAAACCTTAGCTGGGATAAGCTGTCATGTGTTTTTGTCCTCTCTCTCTCTCTCTCTCTCTCTCTCTCTCTCTCTCTCTCTCTCTCTCTCTCTCTCTCTCTCTCTCTCTCTCTCTCTGTGTGTATGTGTGTGTGTGTGTGTGTGTGTTGGTGTATGAACAGATGCATGTGTGTGTGGCCAGAGGATATCTTTAGGTAGATGTCATTCCTCAGGCACTATCTACCTTATTTTTTGTTTGTTGTTTAAAAAAATAAAATAAAAATAAAGGTCTGTCACTGGCCAGGAGCTTACTAATAGGCTAGTCCGACTGACTGGAGGTCTTTAGGGACTTTCCTGTCTCCACCTCCCCAGAACTGGGAATACAGGTGTGCACTACCATATCAACCATGCCTGGCTTTCCCCCAGTGGGTTATGGGGATTGAATGTGTGTCCTCAAACTCTTGGCTGACTGAGCTGTCTCTCCAGTTCCTGTTTTCATCTTTATCCATTCTGATGTTGTCCTTCTTCCTCACCACCAAAGGGCTGCTGGCTCCTTACTGGGTATCTGCAAAGTCGGAGAACATGGACAACATTTTGGTGAGCTGGCAGCCTCCTAGGAAAGCTGCCTCTGCTGTTCAAGAGTACATAGTGGAATGGAGGGCTCTAGAACCAGGGAGCATCATGAGGTTTCCCCCGCACTGGCTTCGGATTCCTCCCTACAACACATCCGCTCTGATTTCAGGTACCTCACTGCTCACATCCCTTTTAGAAAGCCAACAAGTTCCCATTTGTTTTGGTGTGCTGATAGCAGATTAGAGCTATCTGAGAAGAGGGAATCACACTGAGAAAATGCCTCCCTAATATTGCCCTGTAGAAATGATTGTTTCTAAATTAAAAAAAGATTGCCCTGTAGGCAAGACTGTGGGGTATTGTCTTAATGACTTGTGTGGGAGGGCCCATCCCACAGGGAGTGGTGACACCCCTGGGCAGGTGGTTCTGGTTGCTATAAGAAAGCAGTCTGAGCCGGGCGTTGGTGGCGCACGCCTTTAATCCCAGCACTCGGGAGGCAGAGGCAGGCGGATCTCTGTGAGTTCGAGGCCAGGCTGATCTACAAATCGAGTTCCAGGACAGCTTCCAAGACAATACAAAGAAACCCTGTCTCAAAAAAAAAAGTAGTCTGAGCAAACTGTAGGGAGCAAGCCAACGAGCAGCATTTCTCCATGGTTTCTGCATCAGATACTGCATCCAGAATCACACCTTGGGCCCTGAATTCCTTGGATGGCAGACTACAAGCTTAAAATAGAATAAGCCCACTCCTCTCCGTGTTGCCTTTAGCCATGATTTTCTATCACCGTAATAGAAACCCTAAGACATCTGGGGAGACTTTAAGCAAGTTTGGCTTCAATTACAGAGGGTTACATGGCATGCCAAGGTGCTAAACAGTGGGAACCTAGAGTTTAGCCAATATACAATAACATATAAGCTGGTCCTTGACAGTGTGCCTCTTGTATGGCCTGCCTGCCCAGACTTCTAACGGGTTATGATCTCTTTAATAACCCTTAAGGAAGAGGCTGAATACAGTGAGCATCCAGAGAAAGAAGAGTAAGCCACTGAGAATCTAGAACTTTTCATTTGGAAACTACTTAACCCATAGAAGAGCAGTTTAGAAGGGATGAGGCATACAGTTTGATTATTGTATGTGTGTGTTTCCATGGTTTCTCAGGAAAGCAAGATTCAAACCCTGAAAGGAAATGGTAAGAAAAGAAGGCATCAATTTTTGCTGTTGTTTGAAACAGGGTCTCACTCTAGTCCTGGCTGGCATAGAACTCACAGAGATCCTCCTGCCTTCTGAGTGGTAGAACTGAAGGCATGCAGAAGGCATGGAATTTGAGAGCAGCTTTGTGAGACTTCCTGGATAGCTGGAGGCTGTGCTGTAATACCAGTTTCCCTCCAGGGCTACCACACCCATCAAATTAAATGACACAAGGACAGAACAAGCAGTAATTAAATTGGGAAGTAATACCAAGATTCAACACCCACGGATAATTTGAACCTTGCCTCTTTTTGGAAATCAGATAATTCTATAGAAATACCAGAAAGTGATGACAAGCATGTTCTCCCTACTTAGTAAAATGAAAATTTCTGAATTACTTTTGAATTATGCAGTTGAATAAAACCAGCTTAATAAAGTTGCAAAACAACCGATTAAGATTGTCCTGCCACTTGGAAATAATTGGTTTGTTATCATTTTCTGTTGAACTGAAAAATTCACTAATTGCCACTTACCACGAATTCAAATGTTATTCCCAAAGCCACTGGATGCTTACAAGTTTTTTCTGACTCTGGTTGTATGAACAGTCTCAGTGTCCTGGAATGAGTCAGAATAAACCTGGTTCCTGGACTTAGGATGGCCGAGCTAGAGACTACCACAGCCCCATCCTGTCTGCCTACTGTATCTCAGTGTCTAGGAGCTCTTCCCTGAGACCTAGAGGAGCTGTGTCCCTCTGCCACATGCTAGTCTCGGTGTGTACAGAATGATTCTTGGTTGGTTACATTATTCATGGAAGAGTTACCTATTTTCTCCCACACCTGATGTGAAACTAAATCTCTGCAGGAAAAAAAAAAGTCCATAAAATAACTTATAAACATAGAGCCAAGACCTTCGCCCGCGGGCATTGTACATATAGGTCAGCATGGTGACATGAGATGAGCTTGTTAACTGGGTCATATTGCAAAGGAAATGAGAGTCTTCTGCACGTGGGCTTCTTGCACTGAAGGTTCTTTAAGTGGGGAGCAGACACCCTGGTGGGGGGGGGGCTCCACACAAAATGACCAAAAAAAAAAAAGAGTTTCCTTAGGCCAAGATCAGGAAAAAGTTTGCCCGAAGGCTCTGCTCTTCTTCAAAGGGAAAATGTCAATGAAGATACACAAACATGTATCTACCTTTCCTCCTTGACTAAGGGTAGTCAATTCACAGGGGGGAATAGCCACAACTTCTGATTGGTGTAGTAGCGTCCTCACTCACATTTTGTTTTGCAAGGCTCATCAGGAACTCCTGGAGGTCTTCACAGGGCAGCGGGTTGGTTGGCTCTTCCCAAGACCTGGGACCCCAGACTGCTCTTTGATCTCCAAACTAAGAAAGGCTAAAAAATGACTTGGATGCAGATATTAACATGACTCCCATCCCCGTGTAGAGAACATCAGTCCCTACGTCTGTTATGAAATCCGGGTGCATGCACTGTCAGAGGACCAAGGAGGCTGCAGCTCCGTCCTGGGTGACTCCAAGCACAAAGGTGACACTGAGGATCTTTCACTCAAGCTTCTGTTAGTGGTTTGCATTTGGAGGGTGATAGAAACCTCTATGTCCTTTTCCCCAGCACCCCTGACTGGCCCTCATATCATTGCCATCGAAGAGAAAAAGGCAAGCGTTTTTATTTCCTGGTCCCATATCCCAGTCCGGGAGCAGATGGGCTGCCTCCTCCATTACAGAATATACTGGAAAGAACGAGACTCTACTGCGCAACCTCAGCTCTGTGGTATGTGTGAAACCCAAGTGCTGCGCTGCGCGGCCTCCTGTTTAGAAGTTGGGAAAGCACAGATTGGGCAGGTCTTCGCTATACACGAGTGCTAGCGCTAAGTCAGCACTTGTGAAATGAGTTGAATTATGAAAAGTAAAAGACACCTCAATGAGCACATGCAAAGTTATTGAGTATGTGTTATATGCTAAGCAAACTGTTAAAGAAATGAAGTGAGTGAACCAGACCCTCACAGCGCCTGCTCACAAAGACCAAACTAGGATGGCTAAGGCAAGAAAAGGTAAGGCGTGGCCTACATAGTGAGAGAGACATTGTCTCAAAACAAATAACAAATAGTAACACTGTGATTTTGTTAAACTGGTAAACAAACACATACAGACAGGTAAAAGGTTAAAAAAAATAATACAGTTTTGTGATCCAAAACTCATTGTTTAGCATTAATTTTTAAGCAAATAAGAGGAATATGACACTCACGAAAGCTCAGAATTAGCAGGGAGATGAGATGGTAGGACACACCTTTAGTACTAGTATTAGGGAGGGAGAGGCAGGCAGACCTCTGTGAGTTGAAGGCCAGCCTGGTCTAGACTGCCAGGATAGGCTCCAAAGTTACCTGTCACGAAACCCTGTTACGAAAAACCAAAAATAAATAAATAAATAAATAAATAGAAAGAAAGAGAGAAAGCTCAGAATTATAACAGCATTGATGAGGTTGATTCTAAAAGTCACACATACTAATTATATACTTCCTTGAGGTCCAAAACATTTAGATGATTTTTAACTCTTCACATCTGAAATTACCATCATTATTTTCTTGGAATGGATAAAATACAGCACAGCTTAGATAACTCTTTTATGACTTGTAATTGCTCTATAACTGAAAAAGCAAAACAGTTATAATAAATTCTGGCTGGAGCACTATCTCAAATGGTTTCATGAATCATTCCTTCATGTAACTAGTCACTTGTGAGATCTGATCTTCAGATCTTTAATCTAATCAGAACTCTTCTGTTTTTATTTTTTGTTGTTTCTTGATTTTGCCTTCTCTGTTTCCTAAACAGCTGACTTTCTTTCAGAAGCATTTGTTAGAAAGAAGGGGCATTTTCACAAATGGACTTTGGGAGCCCATTCCCCATGGAGGGCTACTCTCCCAGCCTAAATACATGGGGGAGGGCCCTCCCCCGAAATGTGACAGACTTTGATGATCCCCCATGGAAGGCCTTACCCTCCCTGGGGAGTAGATGGGGGGGGCGGGTTGGTGGGTGGCATGGGAGGATGGGAGGGAGGGAGAGGAAACTGGGATTAATATATAAAATAAGATTGTTTCTAAATTAAATTTTAAAAAAGAAAAAGAAAGAAAAAAGAGGAAAAGAAAGAAGGAAAGAAAGAAAGAAGGGGCATTTTCATCCTGTCATTGGAGTTGTAGGCTCAGGAATTTAAGACTGCTTGATTGGCAGGCTCCAGAGTGTTACCATGGGAGATTTTTATGCCTCAGAACCTTAAGAAAAGTTGTCTTATCTCTTGACCTTTCAGTTATGACTCTCAAATTAGTATTGAGAGAAAAGAAAAGTTCTCCAGCTGATCTGTGTATATTGCTCTGGGAAAAAAGAAAAGAAAAAAAAATGCTTGGGATCTTTTTCTGTGTACCTGCACTTTCAATAATTTTCCCACATCTGTCTTCTGTGAGTTGACTCATGCTTAATTAAGAGGTCTGTAGATTTACCGTCATTTGCTAGCTAATCTGCCAGCAGGCCTGTCAGAATAAGAGTTCTGAAAGGCCTCCTTAAAGCTAGCAAATCAACTGGCCTTTTCCTGGGCTATTTGGGACCCTTCCTGTAATATTTTCCCCAGAAATGATTTTCTTTCCAGCGACATTTAAACCAAAATTTACAACTACAAAGATCAGTATGGTTAGTTGGTCTTTGTAGCTGCTGCTGTAGATGTTGAAAATAGCCTACTATATTTTGTCACAGATCTGATGCATATAGAGCCTACACAAGGGTATTTTTAAATAAGCTAAAAGGCAAGACTCACAGCCTGATTTTACACTAGTCAAAATCCCCACTTACTCCAGTAAGTACATTATTAGTGAGTAAGCCCCATTCCCTATCCTCAGAGCCTTCAGTATTCTGGAAAAGTCTAAACAACCACCATAGTAGGACAGTGCAACCAGAAAGCACTAAATTCAAGACCCATTCTAGATGATGGGAAGGATCAAGGAAAAACAAGACACCCAGAATGAAAATGGTCCCAAATAGCAGGAAAAATGTGCCAAGGGGGTTAACCCTGTCTGCTTGGTTTAGGTACTCAGTCCCAGAGATCAGTGCAAACACATGTGGAAATATCAGATCTTTGTCACTAGCTCTACACGGACAGGTGAGGTGAGGTGAAGAATTAAGAATGCCCCAGCATTTTCAGTGCACAGCCTGTTGTCTGGATATCTGCTGGCATGGCCATATGCACTAGTGTTCCAACAGTAAGCACACCTCCCTTCTGCAGGACACATGACACTGGCTGTTTTTGCCAACAAATTCTAAGCATTCAAGGACACAAGCTATGGCAATTTGATCACCATTTCTCTCCCCTAGAACACAGCCAGGGAGATGGAAGGGACACTTACTAAGCGTGGTATTCACTGAGTAACAAATGCTTGAATTCATTCCCAGTATCAGTGCAGCTGTTCAGCCTGGTCTTCGTGACCTTCATGGCCACAGTCTCTCAGAAAGTTGGCAGCGACTGCATCCTTCTAAATCCATCCCTTTACCACTGAACCACCTGAGTTTAAAATTTCCATCCACTGAGGCTTGAAGCGACCCCTTTATCTCTCCTGGGGATCACAGCCCAGAGGCAGTGGGACCAGTCTTTCTTGCTTGACTTCTCTCATTACACAACGCAGCCTGTTTTGTCAACCAAACTGCTGACTCTGCCACTCTCACCTCCCCACATCGGCTGCTATTTCTGTTCTTCAAATATGCATGTGCGAATGAACGGTACCAGCCCAGCAAACCATAGAAATACCTTCCTTTCAGTTCCAGTGTCTCATCTCGTTTTCCCAGCTCAGGACACCTCACGCAATTGAACAGCTGACTCTCAGCTGCCTACAAGATGAACAGAAGCTCTTCCTAAAAAAGATGTTTCTAATCCCTTCCTTTAGGAATAGGGATCCCCACACACACCCACTTAATCATATTGCTTAAGACTTATAGGCAATTTCACTGGCTATCTCAGACCTTGGAATTTTCCACAAGGTATTTTTCTCAACAGGTTGTACAATACAGCAGTCCTTCAGATAGTGCCAATGAAATAATCTGCTCAGGCCTCAACCCTTTTCAGTGAGGCAGAGGAAATATTCCAGGGCTGCTTCTTACCACCTACCCATAGGAAGTGGAAACACAAGAGCAAACAATGCCTGTTCTTCCTGTTACATGGTGAATTCTCAGAGGTGATGCTGTGTATTCAGAGCAGCCAACACGCATCCGTGACTGTAAACAGGCCCGTTTATGAAGTCAGACACAGTGCTACGTTCCAGTTTCCACTACTGTCCTCAGCATAGGCACAGGCTGTCTGAGAGAGCCCTCAGCTACTTACTCTTCAGTGAAGTTTTAGCTGTGCAGATGCTGAGGGTGAAACCCAAGAGATTGTACACTCTTAACAAAGCTGTGGACTCCCCCCTCTGGCCTTGATTTTCCAGCCCTCTCCTTTGCCTCCCGAATTCTGAGATTACAGGCTTGTACCACTGTACTCAGTGTCCCTACCCAGCTGAAGGGTCACCCTGAAACACACTCCAGAACACTCCAGAAGACTGCCTGTTTACTAAAGGCTACCAATACTCATGCTTCCTGGAAGAGAAAAGCAGCATAGTGAGATGCTCATACACTCTACCTTGCAGAGAAGCTAAAGGAGTGTTGACAACATAAGAAACTGCAATCTGAGAGCCAAGGAAGTCTCTAGTTTTTAATAGTTTTATGTCAAATTGAAGCTAAACACTGTAAGTTCAAGACAAAAGCCTAACAACTAAAATCTACAAACTTCAAGTGGGGACTGGAGAGAAGGCTCAGCAGTTAAGAGGATGGGTTGCTCCTTCAGAGGATGCAGGTTTGATTCCCAGCACCCACATGGCAGCCCACCACTGGATGCACCTCACGTTTTAGGGATCCGGTAGCCTCTTCTGTCCCCTGAGGTAGCAAGCAGTCATACATGAAAGCAAAACTCTCATATGTAAAAAATTAAATGAAATAAATTTTAAAATAAAAAAACAGATTGAAAAAACTTCAAGTAAATATTTCATTAAATGCTATACTTAGATTTTTTAAAAATTCTATTATCTTAGGCTGGGCAGTGGTAGCACACATCTTTAATACTAACACTCAGGAGGCAGAAGCATGTGGATGTCTGTGAGTTCAAGGCCAGCCTGGCCTACAGAGTGAGCTCCTGGACATCCAGGAATACACACCAAAACCCTGTCTCAAAAACATAAAATAAAATAAAAAAACTATTATCTTAAAATAATTTTATACTGATTTCCTCAGGAATTCTAAAATGACTTAATATACATGAAAAGTACAGACACAGGAAACAAAAGAATTGCTTCAACTAAATAATTTCTGAGGAAAAAATAACAATTGTTTCAGAATATCTTTATCATGGAAAAACTGTTTGCTATAGTAACAAGGCTTCACAAACGCCTATTGAAGTACTAAATGTTGATGAATTTTGATGCTGTTAAAATATGCTTCTTTCTCAAATTAAATGATGCTGTAAAAATAAAAATAGGTGAGTATCCACACTGCTTATTTTCTTTACACAACCATGTTCCCCTTTATCTTCCTTTCAGAGATTCCTTACAGACACTCCCAAAACTCATATCCAATAAGCAGCCTGCAGCCTGGAGTGACATACGTCTTATGGATGACAGCTCTGAGTTCCGCTGGTGAAAGTCCCCAAGGAAATGAGAGGGAATTTTGTCCACAGGGTAAGAAACTAAAGACAGTCAGTCCACTGTGGACTTTGATAGACACATTCCCACTGGACTGTTGCAGGCAGCTCACACTGGCTGTCAACCTGTATGTTGCCCTGCCACCGCACTGTCAGCCTGAAGAGAGTGTCAACTCATTTTTTCAAAACGCAGTAGAAATGCTACCCCTCATCCAGGAAGTCCTGTGAGGCTTATATCCACCACTGTATACTCCCTTCCACCTGTGAGCTGGGGGAGCCCTTGTAGGACTGGAGAGCCTCTTAGAGTATACAATTGGGTCCCCATAGTGTCCTTCTAACTGAATAGTCAAAAATGAGTTGGCTTTGTTCCTAAACCCAACTACCCAGCACTGTGGGTTAAGGTCCAGAGGATTCACAAAAGTCAGACTTTTGAAGTATTTACTGACGATAGCACAGTAACAAGATTTGCTAACTTTCTAGGCAAAGCCAACTGGAAAGCATTTGTGGCATCAAGCATTTGCATTGCTATCATCACAGTGGGTATCTTCTCAATTCGTCCCTTCCGGCAAAAGTGAGTTGAGTTGTTACACCCCCCCCCAATTTAATACATGGTGTGTGTGTGTGTGTGTTATATGTGTATGCACATATGGGGAAACTTGCAGCTATGCATAGGTATGTTAGGGCAGGGGAGGATGTTGGGTATCTTCTGTTATGCTGTCAGTCTTATTCCCTTTCTGGATCTTTCATTGACTCTAAGCATGACACTTAAGCTAGGCTGGTGGGCCAACCAGCTACCAGGATTATCCTGTCTCTTCCCCCCAACACTGGGTTTACAGGTACACGTGGCTGGCTATAATTGGCTTTTATGTGAGTTATAAGAAGGTAAACTAGATCCTCATGACTGTACAACAAATACTAGCACCCACTGAGCCATCTCCCCAGTCCTGTAAATGTATTTTAAAATACAAGCAATTGCTGCCATGGGTCAGGTGGATACATCGCTGGGAGTAGAATAAATTTATTCAACCTTTTTGGCTAAATGTGTGATAAATTTTTTAAAGTGTACCTTTAACTTTAAAATTCCAAACAAATTTATTCAAAACATATATATCATAGATGTATATATATAGATAATGAAAAATATGCTTACTGAAATACTGTTCATAAGGAAACTATTTCAAATAACCTACATGCTATATTCAGTGAGACTAGATTGGTTCACCAAAATACCACATGCAAATAACTTACTATTTATCCACTAAATATTGAAGTTAAATGTAATGAATGTTACATTAGTTTTTTAAATTTTGCAAATACAATTTTTACATTTTGAAACAATGCATACACAAAACATGTCACATACACAGTTGAGGAACAGGCAATCTAGATGCACCATCTGACACCCCACTAACCACCAGGGTGACTCAGCTCCTCGGGCTAACTAGAAAGAGGCCGTCCCCTCTCTCCCTCATCACTCTATGCAATGCCTCCCAAAGGCACAGGACTGTTTTTCCATCAAGGGTATATGAGTAGTTACGTTCCCTTGTTAGAACCTCCAAACAAGCTCTCTCAATGAGTAATTGGTTGTGTGAACTCTATCATCCTGAATCTACGGCAGATTCTCACCTGGGTAAAGGGCTGCTTTGGTAGCTCCACAGTTGACAGGAACAAATTGTCTATTGCACTATCCTGATTTGGATGATATATTGCACTATATCATGGTACAGCTTCTGCATGACCTTTTACCTTGTGATGTCATGGCTGTGGGAACTACAGCTATTGTACCCTACAATCAGAGGGGGAGAAAGGAAAGAAAAGGTGTCAAAATCCCCTTGTAAGGAGCTTGAAAGCTGAACATGACACTTTCAGTGATGTCTCAATAGACAGAACTCAGTGAGGCAAGAGTGGCTAACATTATGTGATACTGCAACGATAAATGGCACACTTACTGAAAGTAAAAATAAGTATTTATTGTAGAAATTACCCACAAGAGACAAACAAGTAACCCAGATGAACCGAGTAGTTTTCTGCCGCCGAACTGGAAGCCGGAAAGCTGGAAAAAAAGAGCTAGACTTCCACTGTTCAGTCTTTTATACCTTCCTCCATAAGGCCCCTAGCCATGCCCAAAAGTGGGCCTGGCTAGTGACGTAGTTCACCGCCTACGTCCGTATACGTCTTTAGTCATGCCTAAAGTGGGTGCGGTTAGTGATGAGGTAAACCGCCCTTTTATTACCTCATCTGTATGCGCCTCTAATAAGTCACATGGTTAATGGCGGAACACTGTTTCCTCCTACAGTTATGGTCTTTAAGCTGCATTCACTGTCATCTCCATAAATCAAGATTCTGAGCTAAGGAAAAAGGAAGAAATAGAATATTAAGTGGTGATGAACACTCTGCCCCAAAGATACACAACACAATATTAAATGGTGGCTATATCTGGGAATAAGCCATAGGTGAATTTATTCTACTTATTTCATAAAAATTGGGTAAAGGCACTTGTCACCCAGTCTGATGACAGATGGCTACCTAGGACCCACCACCAAGTTGTCCTTTGACTTCACATGCATGAAAGATAGCCCATGTGCACCCACACCAATACAAAATAAGACTTTAAATCTTTTTTTAATTAATTTTTTTAAAACATTATTTTGCAAAGGAAGAATGAATTCATTTTTCAACACAAAGCTTTCTTCAGATACCAAGTAATAGGTGCCAAAAGCAACTAACTTGGTATTCTGCCAATCGGTGCACTTTGGTAGATCTACCCAGAGAGACTTTGAAGGGGCTGGAGACATGGTTCACATTAAAAGCACAATTTGCTCTTGTAGTGGGCTCAGGTTCCTTTCCTAGCACCCATTTGGTGGCTCAGACTGTCTGTTATTCTCGTTCCAGGGGATCCAATGCCCTCTTCGGGCCTCTGTGGGCACCAGGCAAACATTCACACACATAAAAAGACAAAAACAAATAATGAACAAATATATTGATAGTTTATCTCAGGAGTCATAAAGAATCACAGGCAAGCTATCACTACCCACCATTGCCACACAGCATATCTAGCTTTCTAACACAGTGGTTCTCAACCTGTGGGGTTGTGACCACTTTGGGGGGCAAGCGACCCTTTCACAGAAGCTGCTTATCAGACATCCTGTATATCAGATATTTACATTACGATACAAAACAGCAGCAAAATTACAATCATGAAGTAGCAATGCAAATTTTATGAAGTCACCTCAACATAAGGAACTTTATTGAAGGGCTGCAGCATTAGGAAGGCTGAGAACCACTGATCTAACAGTTAAATTATAGCTGGCCTCCTTTCATCAAAGTTTATCCGCCTTTGAACAACTTTATATCGGTTTTGACTTTTTTTAAAGATTTATTTACTTATTCTCTAGTGTTCTGCCTGCATATACACCTGCATGCCAAAAGACAGCACCAGATCTCTTAGAGGGTTGTGTGCCACATGTGGCTGCTGGGACTTGAACTTAGGACCTCTGGAGGAGTAGTAGCTTTTAACCTCTGAGCCATCTCTCCAGGGCTTATTTTTGTTTTGTTGTTGTTTATTTTGTTTTGGAGACAGGGTTTCTCTGTGTAACTATCCTGGCTGTCCTGGAACTCTCTTTGTATACCAGGCTGGCCTTGAACTCAGAGATTTTCCTGCCTCTGCCTCCCAAGTGCTGGGACTAAAGGTGTGCACCACCACTGCCTGACTGATTTTGATTCTTTAATGGCCAATACCTTAAGTCATATGCTTATAGCTTGAATTTTTTCATCACATTATAAGACTTTTTTATTTCCTCTGATAACAAAATGTAACCAGTTAACAGATATTTCTCTAGAATACCCTTTTCTTGGCATTTTTAATACGATTATATTCAAGGTATTATACTATTCTATGTCTATAAATCTTCATTATAATGTATTACAAACTCTGTAAATATTTTAATTAGCTTATTGGTAAGATCCCCAAGCATATGAACAATATCTTCTGCTTTGCTCTTCTATTCTTAGCATGTGTCACATATTTAGTTTAATGTTATTTGCTGAATTAATGCATGGCTAAATAGTGAGAGACTATTAAAAAGTAAGTGGAGCAAAAAATTTTAATTTAGCAAACTCTTAAGTGGTTGCATCCTAACTTATTGTAATCAATCCAAAGAACTCCAGCCTTGAACAATGTTTCTGTAAGGGTTTGTCTTTTACTCTTTCCATAAAAAGAATCCTGTGCCCTAAAATAAGTACACTAAAGTCTGAGCCTTTGTACACATATTAAACCAAATGTCACTGTTTTATTTATAGGGTATTTGCTTTCCTCTCTGCTCTCAGACCTCAGTGGTATAGCAGAACCATTCCAGATCCAGCAAATAGCACTTGGGTAAAGAAGTACCCCATTGTGGAGGTAAGGTACAAAGTCACACTGGCAGCTAGTATAGTGCTAGTGATGACCACATCTACGGAAATCCTCCCAGGAATAAGATTCTGTGGGTCAGCTGAGTTTATGAGTCATCACTGTTTTCTTCTGGACTCCAGCAGCCCATGCATGTGAACATCTGAAGCCCATGAGCATAAAACCTACCAAGGCTGGCCAGGCGTTGGTACGCCTTTAATCCCAGCACTCGGGAGGCAGATGCAAGCAGATCTCTGTGAGTTGGAGGCCAGCCTGGTCTACAAGAGCTAGTTCCAGGACAGCCTCCAAAGCAATACAGAGAAACCCTGTCTCAAAACCAAAAAAAAAAAAAAAAAAAAAACCTAGCAGGCTTTCATGCCCCTCCTCAGTTCAACTTATTTCAAAGACGAAAGCAAGTGTTTCTGTTTTGGGGTTTGTCATTTGGAACAGTACCCTTATAATTGACTGATACAAATTCAGGCAATTGAATTTAACTTTCCCAATCCTCTTGGGAGAACAGAACAGAAGTAAAAGCAACCTGTGGTTTTGATTTCTGTGGGAATCCACTATGTAAAGAAAAGGCTTTAAGAAGAGATGGTTTAGCATATAAATGAGAGCACACAGGCGATAAAGGGACTTTGCCACTGCTTATGGGAGGGAGTAAGATGGGGTGGGTATCTCTGGAGAATTGAAAGTTGTGGCATCTAAAAACAAGAGGAAAAGGAAGCCACATGCAGTCTTTCCTGTTGCAGTGAGCCCTGAAAGCCTGTTTCCAAGATTCTTTGGATTTACTTCCTTAAGCCTGAAGACAGTGGCTCAGCCTCTGCTTAGAGGAACTGTTCCTAGTCACCTCACTGCAGCTCAGCATCTTTTGCAATTGGTTTTGGAGGTGCCTCCTTCTGTTGTTCACTTATGTGTGCATCTTGGGTAACTTGTCCAACTATCTGAGTACCAAGTGCCATGACTTCACATTTTATTACTGAAGAGTAAATATGATAAGCATGAAGCAAATGCCTTTTGCTTTTTTTGCTGGAGTTTAGCTGAGTGGCCTCAAACTTACTGACTCAGACTCCCAAGTGCTGGGATTATGGACATCATCTATCATGTCCACAACCATATTTGTAGACTTCTCTCTATTGGGGGAATTTAGTTTCCATTAAAATTATAATAGTAAGAATGGCGACAATAATAGATATATATATATATTCACATTATATGTTATGTACTAGTCAAGTACATAATTATAGTGCATTATATTACACTTATATATAACCTACATATTATTTCCTATGTAGCAGGCACTTTTAATTTCATGTATCAACAATTTACTGGCAGCTATGTCATACACTTTCCTGATTTTTCAGATGAGGTAACTGAAGCAAAGGACCAAATAACTTCCCCAATACCCAGTGATAAAGAATGAATACTAAATTCATTTCCAAGCAGGGTACTGAAACACTGCACCTCACAACAGAACTTTAAGCACAGTTTGAGGAGTGTTTCTAGTGGCCCATACCTAAGAGCTGAACACTCACTAGGGGGAGGTGTGCACACACTAGCCCTCAATGATCTACAGGAGTACATAATGAGCCACGAGGCCTTAGAAAATTCCTTGCTGGTGTTAGAGAGGTTCAAGTACCAGGAACTGAACCAACTGTGCTTGCTAGTCTAAGCCTAAAACACAGTGGAAGGCAGCTCTGTGATGGGCGAAAACACTGACCTTCACAACTGTAACTAACCATGGACTGATCAGGAAATAGAGGCACTCAGAGATGCTACAGGCTGACAAAATAAGATGCACGATAGTTTAGAGGCAGAAACTATTGTCTGTCTCTAAACAGTGGCAGAAACTAGCATGTAAAAACATGCCCAAAGCCACATGGCAACAGTACATTCGTCACAGCAATCTGAGCACAAATAAAACATGTATAAAGAGACAAACCTGAATGTGGATTTTGAACCCACTTACAAGTGGGAGGTAAAGGGTATATGCATATAACCTCTGAACTGGAGAGGCTAAAGCAGGAGCAATGTGAGATATTATGGGTCTCACAAAAAGTCAACTTTCTAATGATTGCTCAATGTAGTTTCCATGGGTATGAGGGAGATGACTCTTACAGAAGCCTGTCAAATACATAATCTCATTATGGTAGCTGCCTCTGGAGATTAGTTAAGAATTGAAAGCCTTTTGATTTTTATTATGTATTTCCTTTGACTTCTGAGCTATTATTTTGTAAAAATAATCAGTCAATTGGAAAAAAATTAAGTAGCTTTTAGGGGTTGGAAAGATGGCTCAACGGTTAAGAGTTCTTGTTCTTGCTGAAGAGGACCTGAGCTCAGTTACCAGCATCTAAAATGTAGCTCACAACCACCTCTAGGGTCCGATGTTCTCTTCTGACTTCTGCAGGTAATACACTCATGTGGTACAAGACATACATGAAGGCAAAACACTCATATACACAAAATTTAAGAATAAACAGAGTTTAAAAATTTAGTTGAAGAAGACTTTGAGGCAAGCTGAGATGTTTTGAGCTCTGAAGTACATAGGTAGTTCATTAAAAAAAAAAAACATATTGCACTTCAGGCCTGAGGCAGAAAATAAAATTAGAAATAAGATATACCTTAAAGCTCTGAAGGAAAAGTCAAAACTACAAAGAGGATCACTGGAATGCTATCTTTTACAAGCTAAAACCAGTGCCTATGGTGTTTCTGAACAATGGGGTTAAAGGAACTTTCCCTGGGGCTTTCTAGAAGCCAGCCCCAAGGAAGTGCATGGGAGTAGTCTCCAGTACTGGCCTGCAGAGGCAGAACAGTTCCCCTAGTGAAAACCTCCTCCCATCCTGTTAATCTCTCCCACATGTGGTGCCTTGCTTTGGCACAGCTGCCATACATACATACATACATACACACACACACACACACACACACACACACACACACACACACACACATACACACGTTCCCAGACAAGCCTACATGCTAGGACCAGGTTGAGGATGGCCAGGGGAGGACCATCTTTTAAAAGAGAACAATGGAAGCCCTTCATGTAACTCTTGACAGTGTCATCACTCCTTTCTTGACACTTGTCATGCCCCCAAAAGGTGGCCATATTAGAGGCTAATTATACCAAGACTCTCTTGTGCAACTTGAATAGGGAATTAATGGAAATGTCACATGCCAAACACATATGTGTTGATGACACCAAGAAGAAATGTGGATGTAAAGCTAGAAACAGACACAGAAAGGAGTAGACTACAGGCTGAAATCTTTTCATATGAGGCTAAGTGTTAATGCATGGAGTTCTACCTTGGAAAGTCCAGGCAAGCTGTGTGAAACAGTAAGATGTAAAGAGAACTCAACGAAAGCCTAGTAGGACTTCAAGAACTGGCAGTAAACTTAGAAAAGAATATGCCATAGAGCTGGTGACCAAAGGAATTCTCAGAAAGTTAACAGAAAAAATTAGTAATGAATTATCAAGACTAGCTAAAGGGGAAGATGAAAATCTGTTACAGGAAAGCTATTCAAGTAGTCTTTTTAAAATGCCAATCTGACAAGAACATTACCTTATTTGAAACTATTTAATTCCATCAAAGCCCAAAACCCCTCAGCATGCCCTAAAAAGGCCTTAATGGCATGATGATGCACACCTTTAATCCGAGCACTTGTGAGGCTGAGATTCAGGTTAGCCAGGGCTACATATTGATGGTGCTGTCTTTAATAAATGTCTTTCACGATTAGTCTCACCCATTTCTAAATCCTGTTTTTTTTTTTAATACTCACAAATAATAGGGTTGGGGACGCGATTTCAGTAAAGCACTTGCTTTCGAATGTACAATCCCAAGTTTGATTGTCAGCAATGAAGGGTGGGGAGCAATAAACCAGGAGGCTCAATAAACCAACTTCCCTCTACCACTTCCAACCTGGAAAACATTCCATCTCTCTCCAGATTCTGCTCTAGCCTTTCTGTTCCACCTCCACACCCTTGCCAGTAGAAAAAAAAAGCAAGTGGTATAGCTTGATTCAGACTGAAAGTTAAGTCAGTCATTCTGTTCTTGGCTGGAGACTGGCAATGATGGAGTGTGGATATCTGGCTCCCGCCCCTCCAAAATTTAAAGGCCCATCTTCTCATTAGGCCGAGTCAGGGCTGGATGTGAGGGTTTGGAAACCAAGAGAAACGGGTTGTTAAAGTGACCTACATATCCATTCTTCCTTCTCCCAGGAGAAGACCCAGCTACCCATGGACAGTCTCCTGATAGCCTGGCCCACTCCAGAAGAACCTGAGCCCCTGATCATCAATGAAGTCCTTTACCAAATGGCCCCAGTCTTCAGACATCCCTATTGCCCCAAAAGAGGTCAAGGGTTCAAAGGTCACTCTACCCCCAAGGAAGACACAACATACATTGCCTCCAGTCCACAACCTATAAGAACTCTCACAGCTGACACAAGACAACTAGTGAATCTATACAAGGTGCTAGGAAGTAGAGAACCTAACTCGAAACTGGGCAATCTGACTAGTAACTTGACTGTCACCACAGGGGACTACCTTCCTAGCCAAGAAGGCTATTTACCCTCTAACATCGGAGACTTTCCTCCACATGAGGATCCTCCAACTGATTCTTTAGAACTGGAGGAGCATCAACACATCTCTCTTTCCATTTTTGCATCAACTTCTCTTCGCCCCCTCACCTTCTGTGGTGAGAGGCTGACTCTGGATCAGTTAAAGATGGGGTATGACTCTCTCATAATGAGTAATGAGGCTTGATAACTAGAAAGGCAGTGTGCCCATTAATATAACACAGCACAACACATCTGTTTACTCAGTCCCTAAAACATCGGTCACCATCTTTGGTAGTACAGGGGCCTGGGTGTAGCTAGACAGTGCAGTCAAGCCAGTGGTATCTGGATTAAGTTAGCTTCACCATAGGGTCTTGCTGCCTTGAACACCAGTTTACTCCAGGTCTAAAACCTCAATGTACAACCTGGACCTTGTTGTTTTCCTTTGTGTAACTATGGCCTAACTCATATCCCACCACTGGGGAAGTGCCACTCTAAAACGCAAAGCCTGATTCTACCCCCACCCTGTCCTCTCCAGTGACTACTTTCACATATTTGGTACTTTCATTTAATAAAGTATCTATTTGCAAATTTGTACTTCCTTTTCTAACCTACCAAATTAGTAATGTGCCCATATTAGCCAGTCCTGTAAAATGTTTCCTTAAGTTTGCTCGTAAGCATCACTGCTTCTTCCATTTGCAAATTTGTACTTCCTTTTCTAACCTACCAAATTAGCAATGTGCCCATATAAGCCTGTCCTGTAAATCGTTTCCTTAAGTTTGCTCATAAGCATCATTGCTTCTTGATGTTATTCCAGACTTAATTTCCAGTCCTTTTCAGACAGGCTCTTTCTGTGACATTTCTATTCTACCTTAACTACCGGCCAGCTGTCAAGCATTAGCAACTCTGCACCCATCAAGTACCCTAGTTGACTGCCACGACAAGGCCACCTTGTTAGAAGCAGGCCAGGCTACTACTTCTTACTACTGTGGTCTTGCTCAGTTTCCTCTTCAAACTGCTTTTCTCTCCCCACCCCATCCCCCAAAGACACAGTGAAACTTTTTGTCAAGGTTTCCCAACTCATTAAGGGTTCTGTTAAGGCTGAATGCCTCTTCCATGCTTTCCTTCAAGAATCTCATGTCACTTTAATCTACAATCAACCTGACAAGATGTTCCCAGTATAGTGCCTGGTCATGTCACTTCTGTTGGCTTCCCACCAGCTACTCTAGCACAAGCTTTACAAGACAAAAACAAATAAAAACCACATAAGAGCATTCATACTTCTAACGTATATTAAGCACGGGTCACTTTGCCTGAGATGGGAAAGTTCTCAATGAATGTCAGAGCAACAGATAACCTTTCCCCTACTACTCCAAGTATCTTTTACAATGTTTTCTTCCCCTGACCCCAGATAAAACTCCAAATCAAGTAGTTTCAAATATTTTATTCCTTGGTAGTTTTAAATTCTAAAATATATTCCAACCTAAACTACTTTTTAACTCATAAAATCCCACAAATCTCTGGAACCTAAATGCCAAGGTCATGGGAATTTCCTTTGGGGTTTTTTATTTTGTTTTGGTGTGAGGGTGGAATCCAGGACTTTGTTAGACAACTCTATTGCGTTCCGACCTCAAGTTCAGGTAGGGATCCTCAAACTGTCCTGAAATATGTCCCTTTTCCAGAAGCCAGGTTTTTTTTTTGTCCTTGTCCTATCTTGCAGACAAGTGGAATGTCAAACTTAAATCTTCACCCTTTTCCACCTAGTCCTAAACCTACCAATACTTTTCAGCTCCCACCAATAACTACACCCCAGAAAACCCATATCCTGGAGCCAGGAAAAGAAATGCCACTAGCCACTCCCTGTGTTCCATTCTTGTTCTAAGTAGGGTATTCTTGAGTCACCTGAAAGATGACTCCTGTTCCAATATCAAAGACCAAGGCCCTTTCAAAAGTTTATTTTCCTCCAAGCCTACAGACTCATTTTATGAAAACTTTCCTTGAGAAGGTAGAACTTCCAGAACAAAACACTTTCACCTAAGAGCTTCAGATAAAGAATATCCTTCTTTCCTAAAATAGAAAAGCAATTCAGACTAAAAGACATAGCTCAATGATACAGCAGCAGCCTACCACGTGTAAGAACTTGGGTTTGAATTGCCAAAAGCAGGGGGTGAGGTAGGATTTGCAATCTGAGTGATGTAAAGAATCAAATTGGAATTCATAGTTTACACCAAAACAAACTTCTAATAGAACTACTATAAAACCAATTGAAAATGGGTTCCTTAATAAGGCACTTGTACAGGTTAAGTATGAAAAACTGCACTTCAATGATACAAAGTTCTACAAATAAAGAAATGCAAACCAGGCCAGGCGATGGAGACCCACACCTTTAATCCTAGCACTCAGGAGGCAGACACAGGTGGATCTCTTGAGTTTGAGGCCAGCCTGGTCTACAGAGAAACTCTGTCTCAAAAAACAAACAAGAAAAAATAGCAAACCAAGTACTATTGATTAGCAAACATTACAGAACAAGTTAGCCATTACTAATCAGAGAAACTGTTAGTGAACCAATTCTGAGGGGTAGCTGGACAATAAAATAGCCAACTTAATTCTCATCAACATAGCCAAGACCAGCTTAATGTTCCAAGAACACAGAATTTATAAACAGTGAATTAAAATGATAGTCCTAGAAAACAAGTACTATCTGTACAATAAAAATACTATGTATTTCAAGGAATTTGACTATTTGATTTTGAATTCTAAACAAAGTTCTAATTAAACTGTATTGTGTCGCTGGTTTCTGTTTCTTATTTTTAGTGGTGGTAAAAATAAAACTAGTGGCCGTGGGCATGCTACAGGCATGCAGTACTTAGCCTTTCACATTTTGATATCCCTTAAATAAGATAGGGCATGGAACTGATGAAAAAGCATACTACAAAGACAGTTTAGTGGTTTAGAGCAACTTGCTCTTACAAAGGACACAGGCTACACTAATAGATAGCAGCTGTTTCTCCATGGTTACAGCATGCACAGTGCATAGTTAACATGTAGAACACTCATACACAGAAAATGATAAACAAATTTTAATAAAGTATGCACTGCTATTGCAGGGTACCAGAGTTTAATTCCCAGCATTGACACAGGATGGCTTAGAACTAACTACCTGATAAATCTAGCTTGAGGTTGGGGGAGCTCAATACTGCTGCTTTCGACTTTTAAGTGAACATGCCCATACACTGGACCTGTACCAAGTTTAACATGTTTGCTCTTGTTGGTATAAAATAGCATGGACAACTACCAAGAGAAGTCAGGGAAGGAGTGGAGTCCATGAAGAAATGCTGCTTACTGACTTGTCCTGATCACTCACCTTCCAAGCTCCCACACAACAGCACCTAATACTTTGAGCATGTCCACAATCTTCCCCAAAGCAACAGAGCCAGGTCTGTCATAAAAATATTTCACTCCTGGTACCAATTTATGTCCTGGCTTACTTTGTTGCTATGACCAAAAGCAGACTTGAGAGTAAAGGGTTTATTTGCCTTACACATTTCAATCACCATCCATCCTTCCATTACTGTATAGAGGTGGCACCTCCCAATCATTAACTAAGAAAATGTCAGTCACCACAGATCCAAACCTATGATGCCCTCTCTTCCCAGACAACTCAGCTGTGTCAAGTTGACAAAATCAAAAAAACCTCACACTGATAAAAAGAAATCATGCTGTTTTTCTTGGGAGTGTGGAAAGCTGGCGTTTAAAGTAGGTCCTTGCTATGTAACAAGACTGACCTTCAGCTCAACCTTACAGCCTCAAGTACCATTAAGCCTAGAATGTCTCTGAAACAGAATCTCCCACCTCCTAATTCCACCCAATTTATACATTCTGAAGTGTGAGTTAAGTCAAAGAGATGTCTTAATCTGTGCCATGAATAATTTCTCAAAGTCAGCCAAAGTTTTTTTCTCTACTTATCAGCTATTCTTTGTAGTTACTCTTTCAGAAAATGAATAACCAAGTAACTGATTCTCATCAACCTCTAAAAGTAACTCAAGAATATTTTCATTAGAACACTGGAATACAGTGGTTCATGCTTTTAATCCCATTACTCAAGACCAACCCGGTCTTTGTCTACATAGTTCATAGATTGCAACCCTTTTTTAAAAAACTGGAATACCTTCAAAACTGAGTATGAGCAACAAAAAACCTCTATCATGTTCACTTGCTAACCTTCAATTTTAATCATCCCATTCACTAGATTTCCCTTAGAAACAGAACTTGTAACTTACTCCATCACAAGGTAAAACTACTGACCACTTGTTTTATTTCCCTAAAACTGTAGTAAACATTGTTTTCCCTCAATCTCCAACAACTCAGTTTTTAGATTCTTTTCAATTGCTGTAAACAATCAGAACTGTTTCTATCTCTTCCATCTTTCTCAGGGAGATGAGTACTTTAAAACTGTGATAAACTCTAAATATCAAGATACTAAGCTGAAAAAAAGAAAGTATTCATGCTATCCTGTGTCTAGGAAGTGCTGGTAAAGCTTCACAGTCAAGTTTACTGGCAATATCCTCTACTTCAGGAAAAATTACCTCTACATCTCACCTTTTAAAATGACCAGCATGGGAGCTAGGCTTACCTATCATTACTAATAAAAAAATTAACCTTCTTTCTCATATAGTGACAAAGTATCATTTTTTGAAGGCATAGTAACTGTTACAAAAAAAAATCAGCAAAGTGAAACACATACTATATAACTAAATAGGGATTCACCATCCCACCCTGAATGCCTACAAGAGGACAATGAACCCAGGTCTCCCATAGAGCAAAGTTGTCTGACGTTATGTTAGGTGTTAAGTTTGACGACAGCTTATAATCCTGAGCAAAAGCACTATGTCTAGAAAAACACACTCAAATCCCACCCATTTGCCTATCTCTAAAGATATATTTAATTTCACAAATCATGGAGACCTAAGCATACTCGTGTTATGTAATGGGAGAAGGCTATCACACATCTTGTTGAACCTATTTTTAAAATTCATTACTAAATACTGAATTACCAAAAGAGCCCCATGAAGAACTTCGACACAAACTGCCACCAAACCAAACATTAGGTCTCAGTGGATTCCAGGTATAAAAGAACCTTTGTACGTGATGTAAAATTTAGGGAAGGAAAAAAGTTGTCTCACTTGGTACTCACTGGCTAGAATTTAGTCCACAACAAAAAAAATTCTAGTCAAATAAATTAACCTGGCATTTATGAATTTTCATGTGTATGAAAATAAATTTCTACAAATTAGACATCAGCACCAATTCAACCAATGCAAGCTACAATATCTTGTTCAAGAACAAAATCGGGGGCTAGAGTTATAATTCCAGCTCTAAGGAATCTAATATCCTTTTATGAACTGAATGGGCCTATGTGTTCTCACTCAGTCACAAAATACCTATCAGATATTACCTCTACAAGTTTTTAGACTATGGGCAAGTTAAGCGGCTACCAGTTAAGTGGCTACCAGTTAGACACCGCACCCAACCCCACACTTTGGATTAAAGTGACAGATTTTTCTTAAGAGTAGCATGACTTAATGGGTACTTAGAGGTAAATTTTTATTTTAAAGGAGCTTTTACATTCTTGCCTGGGATGATCAGGAACAGCAGTCAGGAAGGGCACAGCTAGCAAAACTTACTCACAGTTAGGAAAGCAGTCACTAATTTTTCCCAACAATTTGGAATGAGGAATGCTTAGTAACAGAACACGTGCCTAGAATACACAAATCCCTAGCACTTCAAATCACCTTTTAAAAACACCTGACAACTGGTTTTGCTGATGCAGATAAATTACTAAGACCATTCAATAAGGTAATATTTACTGCCTTGTTATTAGACACTCTTCAAAGCATACTAGTAGTTTGGTTTCTGTCTTTTAGTTAATGTGGAGATACGACATTCAGATTTTAACAATACATACTAATCTCACTACAATCACAAAGGTTTGGGCTAGAATATATTTTCTAAACTGCCTTTACTGTAGTACTGTGGTTATAGTTCAGCCTACTTGCTGAGCATGGATACCCAGCACCCAGGTAGTGTGGGTAGGGAAGCAAAACGGCATGCATCATAGGTGTAGTATAGCAGCTAGGTCATGTTGGGCCACCTATCCATCCAGATATGCCTGCATTGTCTTACCTTTAAAGACAACATCAATAAGGTTCTGGCAGCTTCACATTTAATTTTTACTACCTAGTTTCTTCTACCTGCTAATGCTCTGAAGATGTTTTTAAAATTCAACGCAAAATACTTACTTGCAAACTAAGTGAAGTATAACATCTTTTCTATTTCATCAATCATCTCTAGTAATTATAAAAATAACAATCACAAGGAATATTCAATAATCTCTCTCCAAACCCATACCCAAAATAAACCAAATACATTCACAACTCTGGAAATCACATGTCTTGAACTGTAGTACTTGCTGGTATATTTAAGATCTCTGAACAACTCCAAATAGTTTAACTAGTAAACTATATCCTCCCTTCAATCCAAGCTGGAACTATGCTAAAAATTTCATAAAGCATTTAAGCCAACTATTATATCCATTTTTGCAATTATTATACTAACTTCCCCAACTTAGTTTACTAGAAAGGTGTTCCTCGAAAATACAGGACTCAGCAGGTTCATTTAAAACCTTGCATGGTATCTAAACATTCAAAATCTTAAAAGTTGCATTATCTTGACAGTGCAGAGATCAGAAAAAAGGAAGCCAAGAAACATTAAGAGTCTCCCACTTGATTGACTGCTTTGATATCTTTCAGGAAATGAGCATGAAAATAAACAGCTATTTTTCAATAAACAGAAAGTCTACCTGTAGTTCTTGACATAAAGTAAACCTGAAAAGAAATTCACAGGATCAGACAGAAGAGATGTGCTTCTTAATTTCAACCTACTTTGAAAGTTTGCAACAATGCTGCAAATGCACTAGGTGTTTCCTGGTGACAGTGACTCTGAGTAGAACCTAAATTTCTAAGAGGCGGTATTTTCTACAACATGTTGCTGGAAATCTGGATTATAAAGATGTTACTATTAAAAAGTGATTAAAATACTTGAAAGTTTAAACATACTGATTTAAGGGTGCATATGCTGTAATCTCAAACGGCCAACAAGTTCACATGGACTAACCTTACCTCTGGAGAGGAGGTATCTGAACATGTGTAACATCAGCCTCAGCATTAGCACAGAACACGTGCAGCGCAAGTATCAGCACAAGTCTATTTTTAAAAAAATACCTTCTTTCTATGCCACCAGACTCACAACCAGTTAATGCAATTAAATGAATCTTTTAGATCTGTACATAAAAACCAACCACTTAACTAGCAAATGTAAGATTTAGGATCTCCACTATACCCAAAATTACATTACAACAGATTAAAAAAAAACTGACAAGTCTTAATTAAAGCTTTGAATAAAAAAATTCCTTCCCTGGTGAACTAGTAAATAAAAATATCCTAGAAAACTTGTTTTTCAAGCATTCTATGTATATACATTGTAATTACCTAATTTTCTAATGGGGGAAATGGAAACTGATACTTAACACTTTCCGTGAAACATTTAGCTATTAACCCAGGATAAAAATCATAACAATATAGAAGATTCATAAACAAGATACTTGTTTTGTATTTTATGTGTGGTGTTGCTGTTCCAAACTAACAGCAAAGCTGGTTTTGAAATACTACAAGATAGTTTTCCATCTCAGCATACTAACCAGTGAGTGCCCTTTGGTTCTTCTAAATCAAGAATAGATTGTTGATTACAGATAATCAATCATCTCGATTTGTGGGCCTTTCATACACAAATGCCAAATGGCCAGGCTCTTATCTTATACAAGTTTAACTATTAGGAATTATCCAAACTAACTTACTCTACCCATTTTGTTGGAGGGAAGATAAAACTTACACCCACAGAACTATTTAACTGAACACAGTCTGTATCTGTCAACAAGAAGCTTACACAAGTTCCAAAAGCAGTGTTTAGTTTACTTTTAAAATGGAGAACACACTCATTTTAAAAGTAAATATAGGTGAATCAGGTATAATTTGAACCTAATAAACCATGCATGACTCAAGAGTTAATAAACCAATGTGTTTTGAATTCATTCAAGTACTAATAATTCTGTATAAAGATTTAGTATATATCAACTATCATAAGATGTGTGGAAAAAAATGCCAACTCCCAAATAAAAATATAGTTAAAATACATAGTGGTTAGTATTCCATGAAGCATAAAATCTGATAAATCTGAAGTTTACATGTCCCAGCTGACCATGTGTGAAAAATGCAAAGCATATATTAAAACCAGTATTTTGTCTAATATTTGAAACCGGCTTGTAATTGAGGGAACATCTAAATCCTTAATTAAAAAACACAAATGAAGTGAAAGCTTTAAACTGGTACACACTGTTCACACCTATATTTCAAGTTTGGAAATGCATATTTGCAAGCAGCAATACAAAAGTATTCATGAAGAATGCATAATCTCTGAAAATTATGAAAACATCCCTGCTACCAATACATTTCTAAATACAAAACTGACTAACATATTTGTTACTTCTTTGTAGCTAGAGAAGTTCGTTTTCAAAACAGATAAAAGTCAGTCTTTAGGTGTGAATGGTATGAATGACAGTCTTTTTTTTAATTCTTAGTTGTTTGGGATCCTTAAGCATGCAAAAGCTTTGAACAGGAGGGTCCACAAAGGAACCAGTGTTGCATTATGGCATCCAGTTAGGCCAGAGCTGGGAATGCCTCTGGGTCATCTACATCAGGAGCAGAAGCACTTGACTGAGGAAAAAAACACAAAAACAAAAAATTAACCACAATTCTCAAATCTTAAAAATAGCCTGCTAGTGCCTATATTCAGACACTGAATTCTAAAGTCTTCCTGTTAAAACACTACATAAAATAGGTTGAAGCTTTTACTTTAAAGCAAAATTATAAATCATCTTAAAACTATACATATACCTGCAATGAGTACAGTTTATACAATAAAGTACTTTATCATACATACCAGGAATCATATACAGAGTATATACATTGCTAGATTAAGTGCTCTATACCACAGTTTGCTATATTTTCTACCCCTCCATCACCCGCCCTTTCAGAAAAGATTTTGCTCTTGGAAGGCAAACGCCACTTTGTCTACAGTGAGTTCCAAGACAGCCAGGGCTGTGTCAAGCCAAACATTAAGGTTATCCCTAATACTTTGTCAACAGGCAATTCTGAATTCAAAAATCAATTCCTTGGGCATCTATTAAAATTAAATTTGTTTTAGAGCCAGACATGGTATAAAGGCCTAAAGTCACAGTCCTTTGGGAGGGTGAGACCTGACAAAAATAGCATTGCATCCCACTTTTAAATCATGGCAGACTAGTGGTTCAGTGATTAGCAATCCTAATAATTTTCTATACCTCAATTTACACAGCAGTGAGGATACCCCCAGAGTAAAAAGTAATTATAACAGCATGCGAAAAGCACTTGACAAACACAAAGTAAGAGCTTAATAGTATAGTTAATTTAACTCCGGGGCAGCACTACTCATCATTATTACCTTTTAAACAAAAAACAGAACTAAGGCCAGGTGTGGTGGTACATGTGTTTAATACCAGCACTCCAAAAGAACAGAGTTCAAAGACAGCCTGGTGTACATAATTGAGTTCCAGGCTGGCTGGAGCCATGCAGTGCAAATGCCACAAAATGTAGTTTCTTGAAAATAAGTCACAGCTGGGCGGTGGTGGCGCACGCCTTTAATCCCAGCACTCGGGAGGCAGAGACAGGCAGATCTCTGTGAGTTAGAGGCTGGGCTGGACCGACAGCCTTGAAAACAATACAGAGAAACCCTGTCTCGTAAAAACCAAAAAAAAAAAAAAAAGGTCACTTCTTTCATTAGTTCTATTTATTTCCCCCGCCCTCCAAAATATCCAGCCAGTAATTGCTTATAAGTGCTAAACTGCTTAAAACAGAAAAATGCATCTTAAAATTACCTTATCAGTCCTGCTGCCACGGTTTGGACGTCCACCACGCCCACGTCCACCACGTCCTCCTCTGCCACCACGTCCTGGGCGGCCTAGGTCTCCAAAATTGATCTCTAGTTGAGACGTTATATCATTTGCTGGCTTCCGGAAATGATGGTCCATAACCGAATCTTCAGCATGAGCCTAAAATGTAAGTGAAGTCCCTTGTGTTAATATGAAAGTAATGCTGCAGAATTGCTATCTAAAACACTAATTATCAACCCTGCACTTTGAGTGAATCAATAAATCTACTTCTAGTTCATTTGGGGGTCAGATAGTGGCTTTGAAGTATGATTCTTTCAATTTTATTATAGATTTCTCTGAATTGCAGGTGATGACAGGAGTCCTCGGCTAATGACATACAATCCAAGTGACAAGTTCTCACTCTAGTCCTAAATCTTCAGTAGTATGTGACATTTAAAACAGGTCCAAATTGAAATTCCAATGTGAATCCCTGAAGGTCTTTGGATAAAAGACATACAGTTTCTACACTAGGCCCTCCTACCCAAGATCAAATATACACATTTAAGTTTTTGCTGTTTACATACAATTATAAGTAGAGCAAGCATGCCTACCTCAAATACCAAATTTCAAATTTGGGATGCTCTGGCCAAATATCCCAAAACTTGAAACATTTAGTTTCAAGCATTTCAGTCAAGGATTATTCAACCTTCGTTGTTCCTCTACACAAACTGCCAACTTCAAAAGTCATACATTATCAACTTTACATTAGAGACTAAGTAAATCTATAAATAAATCTGCATCTTAAATGCACTAGAAGCACTTTACTAATATACGGGGCATTACAAAACGAAGATGATCTTCATATAAGCTTCACACCTCAGCCTGAATTAATAGAATTTAATCCTGCTTAATTCCTGACTTTAATATATTTTGGATAAAATTAAGTTTTTAATCCTTAACTGAAAAGTTTGCTTTATACTAGTCCACTTTTTATTACTAATACATATAGAATCTACTTAAGGATAACAAGTACACTGTCCTTTCTAGCCAACTGCAGTATCACAGCTTCTTGCTAATAACTACTTTAAAACACAAATGAACATTGTTTACATCAATGTTTCCATATACTGATAGCCAAATTAAATTCTGCCCTTTTAGTTATGACAACTCAATTTAAAAACAGCAAGTTCCTCAAAAATTAATTTTAAGGAAATCTAAAAAAAAATCATTAAATATAAATCCTAGAAAGTATTAGGCAAATTTAAAAAATCATTTTTATAGCTTCTCTTTTTTTCTGGGCTTAAATGTTTGGTATTTTAAGTCATTGATGCCATTATTAACTTTCTAGAACACAAAAGCAAAACAAGCTTAAGTGAATACATTTAAACTTGGATGGTTCTGACGCTCAGAAAACATTCCTAACTTTTAGGTTGACTTCTAGAACGTCATGAAAGTAAACAAACCTGCTCATATCTCTAGAGCATCTAAGATTTTAACTTGCTCTAACCTCAGCTATGTGTCAGTACAATGACTCAATTTACCAACCCCCAAACCACATTTAGTCCTTCTCAGAAACATCCCATGTCAATGTTAAAATCAGTAAGCCCCTATTAAGTAAGTATTCACATCACAAAGGTACAATAAATGTATGAACCTAAATATAAGTTGACTTGCCACTGAGCATTTTATAATTTCCAAAAAATTCTTATCTTAACTTGCATGACACAGTAGTCCCTAATATTTGCGGATGCTAAAACTCACGAGATTCTTAAAACTACAGTACCAAACCCTACACTTTCTTTTTTCTATAAGTTATTAGTTAACTAATGGGCCTGTAGTATATACAATGAAGATACAGTTTTAAATTGACAATTCATACTCTCAGAGTACAGGATAATGCTAAGTGTCTACCACACTATTCATAATGGAATGCAATGTAAAATTATTGATTTCTACAGTTTTCCATTTACTATTTTGGACCTTAGTTGACCATAGGCAAAAATCACAGGTAAATAGAACTGTTCTAGTTTTCTGAAAAGTTCAGAAGAAAAATATTTCAAATTGGGAAACATCTTAAAAATGTATGTAACACACAAAGACTATCAGTATATTGATGAATTACCTAATATTACAACTAGAAAGGCCAGAGCCTAGGTGAATCTTTTTCATATTAACACAGGTCATTTGTTATTTTAAATGGATATTCCTACATTAATTTTAATAGTTCAGCCTGAATTTTCACCTGTATTGATCTCATATAGCAGTAACAATTTTATCTGTAAGAACTGGGATAAAGCCGGGCGTTGGTGGCGCACGCCTTTAATCCCAGCACTCGGGAGGCAGAGGCAGGCGGATCTCTGTGAGTTCGAGGCCGGGCTGGACCGACAGCCTCCAAAACAATACAGAGAAACCCTGTCTCGAAAAACCAAAAAACAAAACAAAAAAACAAAAAACAAAACAAAAAAAAGAACTGGGATAAAAAAATTCATTCTAATGAAACAAAATGTAATTATTTTAAGACCTGACATTTAAGACAATTTCCTCATTTATATTTTTATGGAGAAAATATTAAAAACCATCCCTTCTCTAAACTAATTTAATAGTGTTTCCCATATTGGTCTCAGCCATTTGTATGTCTAGAAACCAAAATGCATTAAGAAATTGAGGGTTAGAGGTTATGACTAAATGGCAGAGCATGTGCTTACACGTTCCAAGCCCTGAGTTCAATCGCCAATATCAAAATAAGTGAAAAAAAATCTTATTAAATTTCCTAAATTATAGGCTACCTCCTAACACTTAAAACTTCACCTTGGGAGAGCAGGATTTGATTTTCTGACACAACCCAACTTATGATATTAATAAATACAGACATCAAAAAGGCCAGCAAAAGCTGCTAGAAAAAATAACAAGTCCCCATCAGCTGGACTTTTTTTTAAAGTATTTGTTAGCTTCCATGCTTAGTTAAAAAAAAGTTTAAACAGTCGTTATCTGTTCCATAATTAGGAATACTAACATTTTCTGAGTCCTAATTATTTTTTTCTTTCTAGGCAAATAAATCTAAAGTAAGACTTAAAAGTTACCTTTATTAGGTAGGCAGTGGTGGCGCATGTACTTGGGAGGCAGAGAGGCAGGCGGATCTCTGAGTGTAAGGCCAGTCTGGAGTACAGAGCAAGCTAGAGCTAAACAGAGAAACCCTGTCTGGTAAACAAAAAAAAATTATCCATATGAAATTTACTACAAAAATTATAATTCAAGCCACACAAATGAACAAATTCAAACAATTTTAACTTTACCTCTTCACTTTTTGATTTATGCAGAACAAATCCCTTTTTCCATTGTCCATCAGCACCTTCATTTGGTTTTCGGATATTAAACTCTACTTTTGCTCGGTCTTTATTTTGAATAGCTTTCCACTCATCCAAAGTCATCTCTTTTGGACCCTCTTCCTTAACCTCTTCAACTTCATTCTCCCTATGAAAAAAATATTTAAAGTTAATGTCTAGTGGCTGCTACTCATTTGTAGAAAATATTAGGGGGACAGAAGAGATAGCTAAGAAGTTAATAATACAGGCTACTCTTTCAGAGACCTGAGGTTCATTCAGTTCCAGGAGACCAGGAGTCCTCCAAAGGCAACAGACAAGCAAATACATATACAAGTAGACAGAACATCCATATACATAAAAATCAAAAATCTTCAATATACATATCTCAAATTACAATAGTAAGAAAACGGACCCTGACTGCTAATATGTTAGAAAGACTATCCAAGAAGAATTGCAGCATTCTGTATAAACCAACAACCAACATGTAGCATGGGAGAAACCAGTTCATCTGCATACTAAGTTGTGAATACAGATTATAACTTGATTTTTGAAATGACTGTTTACATGACTGGCCATAACCCATAAAATTACACATTTCTTTAAAAGTATACTTTAAACTGTACCCTCTCATGTAATTGTCTATCATCCTAAAACTGTAAATGGTGTATACCAGTGTTCACATGTGCATGTAAAGATATGCCAAAGGTCATGGTGTTTCCTGTGATCATTCTCTATTTTTTTTTTTTTTTGGTTTTTCGAGACAGGGTTTCTCTGTGGCTTTGGAGGCTGTCCTGGAACTCACTTGGTAGTCCAGGCTGGTCTCGAACTCACAGAGATCCGCCTGCCTCTGCCTCCCGAGTGCTGGGATTAAAGGCGTGCGCCACCAACGCCCGGCTCCATTCTCTATTTTTTAAGGCCAGATCTTCCACTGAATCTGGAGCTCACCAACTGCCTAGGTTGGATGGCTCTACAATTATCTTCCCACCCTCACTGTGAGGGTTAAGGTGTTTAGATGTGCACCCACGTCTGGCTTTTATGTGGGGGCTACAGAATTCAAATTCAGGTCTTAGAGATTGAGCAGCAGGCACTTACTGACTGAATCACCATAGTTTTCATTTCATCTATGAAGAGGAGACAACTATCTGTTGTTCTTCTACTTTAATAACCAGCACTCTAAATCCTGAATTTTTTTTTTCTTTTTGGTTTTTCGAGACAGGGTTTCTCTGTGGCTTTGGAGACTGTCCTGGAACTAGCTCTTGTAGACCAGGCTGGCCTCGAACTCACAGAGATCCGCTTGCCTCTGCCTCCCAAGTGCTGGGATTAAAGGCGTGCGCCACCAACGCCCGGCTCTAAATCCTGAAATTTTATGTAACTCCAACTCTCAAACCAACCTCTAACATAGAACAGGATACTGAGGTTTCACTAGTAATAGAACTGTTCACAAAACAAATTAGTTTCAACATTTATATCAAAATAGTTATTTCTCAAATTTTAACTATTTTAATTATGTTTCCCTTCCTACATAAAGCACAGGCCTAGGAATCCATGATCTTAGTCTAATTCCAAATGTCACCAAACAAATCATTTGCTATTTTGGGAGCTCTACTTCCTTCCAAAAATAGCAAGTGACTTAGTTTAACATCATTGCTACAATATCTTTATGCAATTCTTTATATTTGGACAGATTCTATCTTACAACTTCCTAAAACAAATTTGCATTCAATCCTGACAGCACACTGGGCATCAAGTCTATCAAGTCATTTTTACAGATCATAGAACTAAAGCTCCGGAAAACTGTCTTGGTGACTTACCAGTCCTGGCAGTCAGTGATACCTACCCTTTACAGACTACTTACTTAAGTTTTACTTCTTAAACTTATCCTGCAAATAAAAGACTACATTCCATTTCCCCCCTACAAGAATAGACTGCTCTCAAGTGGTGACCATTATCTTTGTAGGAGCAATTATCCCCAATTGCTCCTGGGTCCCAAGTAGAGGATTCCTAAAACCCTATGAATACAACTCATTTCCTTCTGAGAAATGTTTACAATCTTTGAGGATCACTCTGAAAGCGACAGGTTAAATTTAATAAAGGAACTGTGCTGAGTATTGCGAGGTACCATTAATCCCCATTATGCCTACCCCTCCAAAGTAAAACACAAATTCTTAATGCAAGCAACCACCTACTCCCATTTACTTTTTATATATACACACCAATGATTGTTTTCCTTATTCCAACAAGCCTACAGAATTCAATGCTTCCTCTCTTCATTAAGAGTTATTCAACAAAACAGCACTTCATATTTCTAACAGTTAACAAATTTAAATGACTTGAAAAGGGAGTGGTAGCATATGCCTTTATTCCCAGTACTAGAGACAGAATTAAGCAGTTCTGCTGAACTAAAACCAGCTTGGTCTACATAGAGTTCTAGGCCAGCACTACAACTAAGTGAAACCCCGCCTCAAAAACCAAACAGGACTGGAGAAATGAATGGTTCAGCTTTTAGGAGCACTAGCCACTCTTCCCAAAGACCCAGGCTCAAACCTCAGCACCTTCATACAGGCTTTCATGCAGATCCAGATCCAGACCAAAGCCAGGAGCCTCCTCTGGCCTCATGTACCACATGCATGTGGGAAAAACATTCATACATATAACATTAAAAATAACAAAGTTTACATGAAAGGAATACTTCAGGGAATTGCTCTGGCCAAAGAACCCCCAAAGGCAAAGAAACAAAAGCAAGATCTGACTAACAGGATTACATCAAACTAAAAGGCAATGTGCACAGATGGAAGAAAATGCCTGTAACTCATTCATCAAATGCCTAAAGTAGAAAGTATGTAACAAATGCAAACAGCCCATCCCAACAGTCAAAAAAACAAACAAAAACCCATCATCCAGCTGGGCCCTGGTGGCACACGCCTTTAATCCCAGCACTCAGGAGGCAGAGGCAAGCGGATCTCTGTGAGTTCAAGGCGGGACTGGACCGACAGCCTCCAAAACAATACAGAGAAACCCTGTCTCGTAAAACCAAAAAAAAAACAAAAAAAAAAAAAGACAAAACAAAAAACAAAAACCATCATCTGACTTTTAAAAGGGGGGAGTAAATAAGGGTGGGCCAACAGTTGAGAGGCAGAGGCAGGTGGAGTCCAAAGCCAGCCAGCTCTACAAAGTGAGTTCTAGGGTAGCCAGGGCTGTTACACAAAGTAAATGGAGGGGGAAAACCATGCAAACTGAACAGACATAATAACTGTGCACACATGTAATCCTTGTGCTTGGAAAGAATCAAAAGCAAAAATTCCTTCATTATATAGTTCAAGGGCAATCAGAGTTACATTAAGACCCTGACTAAAAGAAATACAAAGCACCATCAAAATCACAATGAGATCATCTCACCCTAGTCACAAATGGCTATTAACAAAGAAATGCTGGTGAGGATGCAGAGAAAATACCCTCAGAAATGTACATCAATACTACCACCATAGAAATCAAAGATTCTCCAAAGAATAAAAGCCTAGAGACAGATTCAACAATTTTACCATTTCCTGTATATTGTGCTGAGCTTAACTTTTCCTGTGTAGACATGAATAAACATATTCACTCCTGATCTCTCAACACACACACACACCAGTTAAGAAAATTATTCCACCTGCTTGATGGACCAATGAGTTTTCTTAGATAGTTACAGGAGTATGGGTGAATGGTTATTTGCAGGAACAAAGACCTATGAGCAATAACAAAGAGAAGTGACCGCCCCCAACCCCTTAGCAATCATTAAAGGGTTATACATACTCAGAGAAGGTAGAGGTCCTCAGATCACATGGCGAGCCCCATAAATCACTGTTAGTTTAACAGCTGCCATGATTTTAAGACAGCAATACTCATGTCATGCAAGCCAAGCAGATTGGGCTTCACAACATACCCAAAGGAAATAAAATCAGTATGCCAAAAATACACCCACACCCTGTTATTTACTGAAGTCCAGTTTCAAGGGATCCAATACCCTCTTCTGGTCTCTGTAAATATTGCAAGAATGCAGTGCACGTAACACACATGGAGGCAAACACACTCATTGCTTTTCATGGTTTGAAGCTAATTTTTACAAAGTTGGTTTTTCAACTTCTATCTAGTTTCAGTATTTATAACTGATACTGTTGAGATTACTTTGAACTTGACTTAACACATGATTAAATAACTCTTACATCAACAATTTTGTCCAGTTTGGTTTTTTCTGGGTTGGTTTGTTTTCAAGACAGTTTCTGCCTATGTAGCTAGCTCTGGCTGTCCTAAAAACTCACTTTGTAGACTAGGCTGGCCCTGAACTCAGATCCACCTTCTTCTGTCTCCCAAAAGGAGTGCACACTACCACCGCCCAGCGTGGTTCATTTTTAGCACACCGCACCCATTCGGGCTGTCACTAGAATTACCCTTCCTAAAGATCAAATGCAAAGCACTTTGTTCCTTTCCTTCATCCCTGGGTAACAACATGTTATTTTAGTGAGTAGAGCTTAATGATTTTACCTAAAATATAGATATTCCTTAACCTTTCTAAGATGTAAACAGTAAAATTATCAGGTACGGTACTCCCAGGACTTAGAAGACTAGAGAATACTGAGTTTCAGGTCATCCTGAACTACACAGCAAGACAATGTCTTAAAAAAAAAAAAAGATCTCATGTCTATGCCATCAAATAGCTGGTATTATATCAATCACTTTACTGGTTAAAAAAAAAAAACCCTTTTGGAACATTACATCCTCACACAAAACCACTTACTTATTTTCAGTGTCTGCCACTGGGTGCTCTTCACCTTCAGGTGTTTCCTCAGTCACATTTGATTGATCCAAATCACTGCAATTATAAGATATTTGTTTCTGAATGTATTTGGGAGACTCTCTAAGGAAAGAAAGAAAAAGAAAGGCATCTAGGTCCATTTACATGTAGCAAAAGTCCTTCACAACAAGGTAAAAACATTTACATTCTTTATGTATTTCTACTAATTTTATCCTATTTCTATTCATTTTACTCTCCAGTAGACCTCTAAGAGACAACAAATTATTAAATTACACACTTTTAAAACAAGGTTTTCTAAGTCAGACTCAGTTAATAGATAGCTGTAATTAATTACAAATTCAAGGCTATCCTGGACTATGTAAAACCCATCTCCAAAAAAAAAGATCAAAAATAAAAAGGGGGAGGGCTTTTCAAAAATTTTAAGGACAAGATTATAATAACTAGAGTTCAAACTATTAAAGTCACAATACTTCCAGTATCCTCATCACAGGGTTTCAGGAAAAGCTACATACATCCATCAGAAAAATGAAACTATCAATCTATTTAACTATTTTAAAATAGTTTTTTTAAAAATATAAACATTAAAAGGTTATCGATTTGAGACAGAACATCCATTCTTATCTCAGGAACAAAATATAAATATTGTTAAGTCTGTGGTAAGTCAATAAGTTAATAAGAGTTTTGATTTCAAATTATTTAACTTAAAAAAAATCAGAATACCAACGTTAATTCATCTTTGACAGTTCCCCAGTTGTGAGAGCCGCTACCTCCACGTTTGTCCTCATGCTTCAGACCACTGTAATGTGAAAAAGAACTAACAAAACTGAGTTAACATTATACTCTTTAGTTCTAGAAATTCAAATGTAGTTTTTAATAAATAAACACATTTAATTCTAAAACATACAACAATCAGTAATACTTACGATCTATCACTTCCACTATGCCTATCAAATTCACGTTTGCCACGAGAATCAAATCCATCGCCTCTGCCCATTCCACGTCCACGGCCTCCTCGACCCCTTCCAAGACCACCTCGGCCTCGGATAGGCCGTTCAATAATCGGTCTGCAAAACAAAACAAATTTAAACATTGTATCTCTGATGTTTCCAGAAATTGGAACAGGAAAATTCCACTGCAAGGCTCAAAAATTTACAGTATGCTTACTGGCTCATAACCCAACAACTAAATATATAGTGTAGTTTATTCTTACTCATACAAAAGGAAGCACTAGAAACTGTTTTGCTATTCCTTGAAACATTGCTGCTAATACACTTTGTCACTTACTGAATCATCATACTATATTTATCAATACTCTTAATTTCAGTAATCATATCTAGCCTGCAGGATGAGTTATAGATAATACCACTGTCCTTCTAAATTCAGTATCTGGACAATGGAAGAAACTGATCACTGACTCAATTAAAATATTTACTATTAAGATCTTAGAACATGTTATCCATAAATATAAATGCAACATCATTCACATTTCTCTGAGACATACCTAAATAATCACCCCAACTACTACTTGGCAATTATGCCCAATTTATAGCTTTAAGGGGACAACGCAAGAAAAACTTGCTTAAAACTTACCTATCAACTGAAAATTCACCGCCTTCACCCTTTTCTTCAAGTGGCTTTTCAAATCTTCTTTCCCGAGGTGGTCGCCTTTCTGGTCTCCTATTATCAAGTATTTTTCCTTCACCCTGAAGTTGTTGATCAGGTCTTCTTCCAACTCGCCTTATTCCTTATGACAAATAAACAGCATACGTAAATCATTTTTACAATACAAAAGTTTAGGCTACACTATTAATGCTGATGGGCATCACCCATATAGGACTTTATGACATTCTTATTCAACAGTAAACATCTCAAGCTTCATCTACAAGCTATACTTGGAAATCACTGGACAACCTCACACCTTACTTTCCAAGTCAAAGTCTCCCACAAAATTTTAAACAAATATTTCAGTCAAATGACATATTTTTGGCTTTAAGACATCAAAGTTAATACCAGTAGTTATTCATTAACAACTAAGCACTGGATATTCACTAAATATACCCCTCAGAAATCAGTGAAATTCACATTATTTTTCTATATAATCTGGAGGGGAAAAAATCCAATTTAAAATAGTTATTTGAAATAGACATGGTGCCTAATTCAACACTAACACTAGAAAAGACTAAGGTAAGGCAAGGCAGGTTTGGAAGTTGAAGGACAATTTGGATTACAGAGACTAAATCCCAACTCCACCCCAAACAAGCAAATAGAACAATTTAACCAGAAAAATTACCACCTTCCTCATTAACATTCAAAGTCCAAGTATGCATACACACATCTCTCTACATATTCTGTAGTCTAACTTTTAACACTATCAAGTAACCATTAGGAAATACTTCATTATTAGCATGAACAGAAAGCCTTTTACTAGGTCTGCTGTTGAAAATATGTTTCCAAGCATCTTCACAAATCACACACAGAGCCGGGCGTTGGTGGCACACGCCTTTAATCCCTGCACTTGGGAGGCAGAGGCAGGCAGATCTCTATGAGTTCGAGGCCAGCCTGGTCTACAGAGAGTTCCAGGCAGCCTCCAAAACAATACAGAGAAACACTGTCTCGAAAAACCCAAAAAAAAAAAGTCACACACAGAAAGGTCCTCACTTGGCAATTATGTACTGCAAAGGCTGTGACTGCCCAGAATGTTAGCAACATGCAAAACCCTGAGTTCAGTCATAGCAACCACCCTCAAAAAAAAAAAACAGAAAACTTATGGGCATAAACTAATTTTTCTGCTTTCATTTTTTCTGATTAACACAGGAAAACTCAAAAAAGAACCAATATGAATTCAATTATTGGTCGTCTTAAGGACAAGTTGACGGTTAAATGCAAGCCTGCCATTTCAAGTATGCTCCAATTACCCATTCATGGTTTTGACAATGAACAGTTCAGAAATTGTTTTTGTAAAACCAAGTAATGTGACTTAGTTTAAGGAAATAGAACACCATTAGGATATACCATCAGACACCTCTAACTAGTCATAAAGATAGAATTCTTAAATATTTTAATCTCATTCTTTGTAAATTCTCAGGACAAGCCCTAAATGTAGACTTTATGCCAAGACATTTACATAAATTTCATCAGAGGTACAGTGTGCTAGGGTGGAGCTATGGAACCAGCTCAATCCTTGTAATGATAACCAAGCTAAACACACCCAAGGAACAATGGCTTGCTTCCCCACCCAATATTCAATGAGGCCTACATAATCAGAAAAAAAAACTTAAAATTCATTCTGGGGTTGGCAGTGTTGCTCAGTGAGTGCTACTTTTTATACCTTAGCCTAGTGGGCAAAATGCTGGGCTCTGATATCACCCACCACAAAAAGTAACCTCATCTAATGAAAAATGGCTTATACTTTTTAAAGCATGCAAGCTTTTATGTACTTACCTATACTTAAATTGCCAACTGCAGTAGAATTCAGGTGTTTGTTTAATCCGAAAACCTAGTCTACACTTAACATTTTGTCAACTCTCAAGTTCTTCAAATAGACAAAAGTTACAAAATTGATGTAAGGAAATCATTACATTCCAGTACTGTGTTATCGAGACACAGGACACACCATAAATGAACAATTCTTTCCTTTCTTGTACCATCCAATACACAGAACTGACATTTTTATTCTAAATTTCCCCTTAATTATAACCTTGTTTTAAGCGACTCTGGTTTTAGAGTGATTTAAGGGAGTTCAATCCCCAATACCACCAAAAAAATTTTCTGAAATACTAAATAAAAATGTCAAAAAGCAATGTAAAAAAGTTTTCCGAAGGACTTAAGTAAATGACAAAGAATCCGGGCTACAAATAAAATTCCCCACACTTACAACTTACAATGTTAGTTTCCAGGTAAGATCATAGATATGATTCGTGGTGAAAACTGAGTAAATTAAGCTTCTTGCTTTGAACATTTAATAAGTGAGCCCATCTACCTGGTGTGTTTTAGACACAACTTATTCGTGTACTTTCTTTAATTAGTGTCATCAAGGAGGTAAACAGTTTAAATTTAAAATACACCAACCAGAGTTCCTTTACACAAGAATTAAATGCCTTATTCGCCTGTATAACATCAAGCTTAATCAGCTGAGTACTTTTGCCCAAGTGATGTTCTCTAACAACCCAGACTATGCTGCCCTTCCAAATCTATCATTTTTGTACAAGAATTATTTTATTCAGTTAACTAGATACTGGATGTTTACTCCAAGCCTTACAAAAAAAGACCTCCCACCCAAAAAGATGCCTTAAGCCAAAACCCAAACAAGTCCTTTCATGAGCACGTGGCACTAACAGGGACTTTAACATATAATGGTAAAGAGTCAGTTTAGAGTCTAAAACCTACCTATTATTGACTTTGCACTTTCTTAACCCTTAATTGCTTTGCCTTTTCACCCACAATAAGCCAATATTTTAGAATGTGAACATCGAAACAACTAGGAAACTTTCGGCGCCCTGGAACAGCCTATTAACCGCCAATGAAGACCTGACCATGCTTCACGCACGTGCGGAGGGAAAGCTGCAGACTCCAAAGAGCTCTGCTGCCGGGACGTGACAGTCTGGGCACTCATTTGACCCATGAAGCCCAGAGCAGGAAAAGCCCAATAACTTGGGGGCTTCAAGGTACTGGAAGAAGGGATCGCGACTGGAGAAAGGTTCTGCTAACGACCAGCCTTCATTCGGAACTCCCTCTAAAACGAGTGGGGCCAAATCCCTCTCCTTCCCAACAGTTTTCATTCACGCCAGTAAGTTACAGTAAGTTTAACACCCGAGCAAACACGGTTCCTCCAACAACAACAACAAAAAAGTACACGTGGGACCCCAAACAGCCTCTTCCTGCACTCCAAACAGTGCCCCAAACAGCCGCAGCCCAAAGTGGAAAACTCCGAGCCCCGGCCTTTCCTTGATGGTCCGCGCCATTGTGGGACAAGATGGCAGGGCAGGGGCCCAGAGCCGGCAGCGCTGGAGCAGGAAACGTGCCCGCGCCGTTCCCGGGCACCGAGAGCCAGGCGGCGCCGAATGCCCGGCCGGAATCGGCGGGAACGCCCGGCTGGGCCGCCCTCTCGGAGCGAGCACGCTCAGCCAGCCCGAGGCGGGAAGGCTCCCGCCGCGCCTGCGAGCGGCGTGGACTTGGTGCCAGCCACGCTCGCGCGCCGTGCGGGGCTCCGCGGACTGCGCGGCCCCTCCGGCTGCACAAGCAAGCGGCGGCGGCGGCGGCGGCGCACGCCCCCCCGTCCTGCCCGGGGCTCCCCACCGCCTCGCCTGGCTTTACCTTCTTTCTTCAGCGCCACCGGCGGCTGCGTCTCCTCCTTTTTGTCGGCCACGCCGACGCTGGGGGGCAGCGGGTTCTTGCGATCTTTCTGGGACTCTTTACGCAACTGTTTGCCCGCCGCGTTGGAGTTGGTCTGGGCCGCGGCCTGAGCTGCGCTCTTGGCTCCAGGGCCCCCAACGCCGCCCCCGCCGGTTTCTTTTTTCTTGTTCTCTGCTGCCTTCAGTACCTCGAAAGGGTCCGATTCGTCGTCAAATAGCTGGTCGAATCGGTTGGTGACCACGCAACCGAACCCTTCCTGTAGGTGCCCGGGCATGATGGTGGCTCGGCGGCGCGTTCCTCCACGGATTGCAGCGGACCGCGCCGAGCCAAAAGCGCCTGCTTCAGCTCTTCCCACAAGATGGCCGGGCTGAGAAAGGGGGGGGCCGCCTTCTCTTCCGGCGCCAGGCACACATCCGGGAGCGGCCTACGCCGCACAGCACCATGGGGTATGTAGGCCGCAGCCGACCATCCCGCCGCGGCTGTCCACTCCTGAACCACGACTCCCAGCGGGCACCGCGCAGCCGCTCTTCGCGCGCGCCTGAGAGGCGGGATCTCCCGGAGAGAGCGAAGCGTGCTCGCTGAAGGTGGGGAAGCGTGTGCTGGGCGGAGTTCTGCCACCTGCTCTTGTCACCCTTAAACTCTCGGTCCTTAGCCACCCCTGAAAGCGGGAGAACGTGAGGGTGTCCTTCTGCTCTCGAAAGTGTTCTCTGTGTTTGGTTTCACCCACTCCGTCTCCGGCCGAGGACTTTCTCCACCTTTCTGAGAGGGTCAAGGTGACTCCCAGACCTAGTAACTGGAGCCTAAAAACTTCCGGGGGGTGGGGGTGGGGTGAGGTGCCACACTTAACCTCCCCGAGGTTGCACGTTGTGGCCGCTCGGCTGCACATCCCTAGCGTGTGGGTTTCTAGAGCTATCCCCCACCCTTCGTAGCGAATCGAGGCACTTCGGTTTAATGTGAAACGCAATTCCGGGGTTGCTCTCACCGACACATTGGGTGGCAGAACGAATCGAAAAGACGAGTTGACTGTCTGGGTTGCGCGCCTTTTCCCGTCATTGCGACCATGCTTTCAGGACTGTTAACTCCCGACTTGGACGCCAGGCAAGCCTGCAAAAGGCAGTGTTTGGGAACGCTTTCTAGAATCAATCCGATTAACTGATCCATCAGTATCTGGCCACCCGAGGCTTAGGAGGCAGTAGTGTTGGTAAATGTGCTCAAGAGCCGTGAGGTGGTGGCGAAGGCCTTTAATCCCAGCACTCCAGCTAATCTCTGAGTTCGAGGACAGCCTAGTCTACAGAGCAAGTTCAGGGAAAGCAGGGGCCACACTGCGGAAACCCCGTCTTAAAGCCCCTCCAAAGAAAAGATGTGCTCAAGAAGAAATATTGTATACTACATTGAGTATTATGTATGAAGGGAGGAAAATTAATTTAGATAATTAGTAAAGACTTGAAAACACTGACATTAGTTGGGACCTTAAATCCCATTAAGGGTATCCAGTGCCAACACACAGTATAGTTTTTAAACATTTCTACTGACACAGAGAGTACTAGGAAGCATATCTCTCAAGTAGCAGGTGCTAAGAATGCTTGATCCTCACATCTTTTTAGGTAAATAATTGTCCCCTTCTCACAAGTGATGAAATCGTGTCAGAAGTGATGTGACTTACCGAGTTCTCACGTTAAATGATAGTGGCACTGAGACTGCCATATCCCTTGTGTAAACCAATCTGTGTCCTGATAGAAGCTAAGACAAGTGTTGAAATTTTGATAACTACTCAAGTTTAAACAGAATGGTTGACAGTAATAATTTCTGAGCATATTTTTAGTCAATGCCTTGAAATTAGAGTACAGAATTCTATTACAGACATCAGCAGCATGCATCTTGCTTTTCTTATGTTCTGTCCTCTTTAATGCCTCAGAGTTATTTATTTCCCCATTGTTTCATTTCCCCACACATCCACACCTCTCTCTCCCACAGCCTGTGACTCTTACCCAATACTAAACAAGCAGCCCTTAGCCATAAACAACAGGGCCCCCAACCTTAGCACAACTGCCTCCATGATGGAAATACATCCAGGCTGTAAAACTCAGCATGTAGACAGAGTACCACCTGCCAAAACTTAAACGAACACCTAATCCGTAAAAGCTCATATAGTTCTGGGAAATCTCAAAATGTACTAACCTTGCCATTTAGCTTCTGTAGTTCTGCTTCTGGCTAACTGTTCTTGTTAACTGAACTATGGCAACCCAGAACATAGTTTTTATGCTTAAAAACTCATCCTGAGAAAGGCTCAGGGCTACACTGGGATCCCAAACACCCAGTGTAGTACCAGGCTGCTAATAGAGACTTTCTATTGGCTTAACCCATATCCAATCAGTCTCCTCTGTTGAATACCCCACAACTCTTTCCACCCTTTGAAATAGCTCAAATACAATTGCAAGATAATACTCTAACAAATGTTTTCTCTTCAACAAATATAGTAACTATCCGTAGTTCTGAGGCAACTCCAGAGACTCTGATCTTTTTTCTGGCTACTGCTACAATAACAATTTTAATAATAATATTTTATTCTGTGCCTAATGCATTGTATATATGGGACCCATTTAATCATTGGCTCTGTAACTAAATTTTGTAGTGAAGAAAATGAGGGCTGGGATATAGCTCAGCCTATGTCTACCTAGAAATGTATAATTTAACTGTTGTGATAACTACAAAATGTTAGGAATAGACATTTGAGAGACCAGTAGGAATCCTCAAAGAACTTATAAATCTAGAATTTGGTTAATCAAAGAAAAGTTTACAGCCCATTTTTGAAGTATACAAACAAAGCCCAGGGTGTTAAATCTTTTGCATTTTAAAGTTTACTAACAAGTTATTATTTCACAACTATTAGCACCAATTTTGCCTTTATCCTAAGAAATTAAAGTGATCTTCAGAACCAAGAATATAGCTTAGAGATGAAAACTTAAGTTAGTATGTAGAAGATGCTAGCTTTGATTCCAAACACCACACATCTACAAAGCATGCACACATACAGACTTTAAAATATTAAAATATTGAAGCCGGGCATTGGTGGCGCACACCTTTAATCCCAGCACTCGGGAGGCAGAGGCAGGCGGATCACTGTGAGTTCGAGACCAGCCTGGTCTACCGAGCGAGTTCCAGGACAGCCTCCAAAGCCACAGGGAAACCCTGTCTCAAAAAACCAAAAAAAAAAAAAAAAAAAAAAAAATTAAAATATTGAACTGGCAAGATTACTCAGCAGGTAAAGGTGCTTGCCACCAAGCATGACAATCTGACTTCAGTTTCCTGTAGCCAGCCACAGGATGGAAGTAGAAAAATGACTCCCACAAGTTGTTTCTCCACACTCCTGTGGCACAATTACACACACTCACACACCTCAATAAAAATGTTTTAAAAAAGAAAACTTCTAAAAAGAATGGTTGCTAAGTATCACTAAGAAAATCGGAGGGATAATCTTCACAGGAAGAACTGGACACTGCAACGCTCCCATTCAGATCCAAGGTCTGCAGCATAATGAGCCACACTGTGATCTCTACTCATGCAGCATCTCTCAAGAATATTCTGTCAGTAAATGTGAAAATTATCCAAATACCTAGTCGAACACTGGGCTAATAGTAAAACACAGAAAAACTGGCTTTTTTTTTATGCTAATACTCAATTCTCAGCCACACTAAAATCTTGTTTTCACCCATGGAGGCAGAGGTTGATTCTGCGAATTTTCCTCATTCGCTGCTCCACCTTATTTTTTGAGATAAGATCTCACACTGAAACTGAAGCTCAGTGATTAGCTACACTGGTTGGCTAACAAGTTCCATAGGATCTCTGTTTTCCTCCTTTTCAATGCTGGGGTAAGAGGTACACACTCTACTTCTACATGGATGCTTGTGATTAAATTCAGGTCCTTATACTTTTGTGGCAAGCACTTTACTGACACACATATCTTTTTTTTTTTTTTTTTTTTTTTTTTACGAAACAGGGTTTCTCTGTGTAATTTTGGAGGCTGTCCTGGAACTCGCTCTGTAGACCAGGCTGGCCTCGAACTCACAGAGATCCGCCTGCCTCTGCAGGCTGGGATTAAAGGCTTGCGCCACCAACGCCCGGCTGACACACATATCTTAATAACTTCAATCCCCTCTTACAACAACTAGTATGTTACATTCACTATGTTCTAGGCAATGTGCTAAATATGTTATATGCCTCGTTTCCTTTAGTTCTCAGAATAACATGAAATAGTACTACTACCTCTATGGTTTTTTTTAAATTAAGAAATTTTTAATTTATTTTACATGTATAGATGTTTTACCTGCATGTATGCCTCCGCACCAGCTGTGTGTCTGGTGCCTTTGGGATCAGAAGACGAATCAGATCCCCTAGTACAGTAGTTACTGAAGTTTGTGAGACTTCATGTATTTGCTAGGAATTGACCACATATACACCCCTCCTCTGGAAGAACAGTAAGTTCTCTTAACTGCTGAGCCATCTCTCCAGCCCCTCTCCCCTTCTTTTATGTTTAGTGAAACTGAGTTTAAGCACTTCCCGTAAATTCACACAGAGAGCCCGGCCACTCTGATCTTTTCTAGGCTTATTTATTTTTATTTTATGTGCATTGATGTTTGCCTGGATGTATGCATGTGTACCTAGAGGCTAGAAGAGGGCACTGCAACCCTTGCAACTGGAATTACAAATGTGAGACAGCATGTGTGCTGGGAACTGAATCCTTTCCTCTTGGAAGACAATAAGTGCTATTAATTGCTGAGTCATCTCTCCAACCCCAAGCAGTCTGAATCTTATACCTTGGTAGTAGCCCAGTGTTTATTACTGAGAGGCATGGTCCAGGAAAAAATCTATGTTTACGTTGTTACCACAAGTACCAAAATAAGACTATAATTCTATTTTAATAGAAAACATTGGGGAAACAGGCATCACATAAAATTAAGTAGGAGACTGATACATTTTAGTGTTTGCCTAATGTATAATTCATTTTTTAAAAAACAAACACATTAAAGATGGTACTTAAGGCCGGGCGTTGGTGGCGCACGCCTTTAATCCCAGCACTCGGGAGGCAGAGGCAGGCGGATCTCTGTGAGTTCGAGACCAGCCTGGACTACCAAGTGAGTTCCAGGACAGCCTCCAAAGCCACAGAGAAACCCTGTCTCGAAAAACCAAAAAAAAAAAAAAAAAAAAAAAAGATGGTACTTAAAAAAAAGGACCAATCTTCTGTGTATGAGGATGGAATGCTTTCAACACAATATTGCAGGCCTGAGTTCTCCTTAAATTAGGAACTATCATAAGAGGTAAAAACAGAAACATTGTACTCCCTATTTTGTTTTTTTGTTTGGTTTGGTTTGGTTTGGTTTTTCGAGAC